CCCCTACCTATCCCTCCCTCCACACCTTTGAACCTGTCTCCCCCTCCTCTCTCATCACCACCATCAGCCGTATGAAACCCACCACCTGCTCCCTCGACCCCATCCCTACCCTCTCCTTACCTCCCAGCTCCACCTCCCTGCTCGTCTACTCACTGACATCGTAAACCTCTCCCTGTCCACTGATACTGTTTAAAAACTGTTGTCATCACTCCTATCCTTAAAATACCCTTCCTGGATCCTTCTCTACTCCCTAAATACCATCCCATCTCCAACCTCCTCTTCCTCTTCAAGAACCTGGAACAAATTGTTGCTTCTCAGCTTCGCTCCTTCCTCTCCTGCCACTGGTAACCAATTGGGTACAGCAGTGGCCCACAAACAATCGCAGATTAGACATAATCTAATGCAGCAATAAATAATTAAATTAAGGAAAGATAAATAAATTCATAAATAATAACTCAGGACTTGAATACTTTACCTAGCAACTTCCAAAGGTTCATATATAATGTAAGCGTACACAAACCAACATTATCATGGCTGCCAAATCTACTTCCAGTAAGTGGTAAGAAAAAACAATCTATTCAGTGGTTACAGTACTCGCCTCGTAAGCGAAAGACCCGTGTTCGATTCCCGGCAGGACGAAACATTGGGCAAGTTACACTCTTCTGTTTACCTAGCAGTAAGTAGGAACCTGGTTGTTAGTCGATTGGCGGATACAGTTAAATCACTTTACAGTATATTCTGTGAAGCGCTTTGAGACATCTCAAAGACGTGATAAGCCACAATATCAAATGCATGGACTATTATTATTTCCTCATTGCAGTCAACGTTTGTTTTCTCTAGTCATGATCTTGCTTTCCTCATGAACTTACATTTTATACTGATACAACAACTTTCATGTGGGGAGATTATCTCAAAGCACTTTACACAACTGACTGGGAGCCTGAGCCTGGGGGAGTGGGGAGGAACAGCTAAGGAGGGGATGGGAATGTCTGAACGTACTGGTTCAAGATGGTGACAAGACCAAGAAGATTAACTTTAAAGAAGTTGACCAAGTAAAAGAATTTGGGGAGAGTTTAAAGAGTGTGGGGTCTGAAGTGATATTGTCTGAAGACTCACTGACAGAGAGTAGAATGGAGGGCAAATGGATCGAGAGGCAGATTAGAGTCATAGGGTTTAGTCAGGCAAAAGACCTGGAGAGGTACGGAGAGACAGGATCCACATACGTTAAGGATTGTGTATGAGTTGATGCAATGTAATGCATTTTGGTTCAGTTAAAAAGAACAATTTTCCAAAATGTTCTGTAGTTCGCATCATACCTGAGCTAACAACAACAGCAAGTTGTATTTGCATATTGCCCTTTACACTGGGCAGCGTCTCAGAGCGCTTAACAGTGGCGGAGCCTGACGCCGAGCTGGGGGAGGGAGACCGTAAGCACGGTCGAAGAGGAAGGTCTTCAGTCGTGATCTAAGAGGAGAAGAATGAGGCAAGGCTCTCTGTGATGGGGAGCCAGTGGAGCCTGGCAAATGTTATGGGGGTGATGTAGTTTAGTATGGGTGAGAATATGGGCATCTACTAGTGTCTGGAACCTCACAAACAAAAGAAATAGGCATTTGCAGACGCAGGTTTATCCAACCCCTATATTCCTACTGGTGCCCGAAAACAACATGAATTGAGAAGCAGAGAACCCATGGCAACAAATCCCACAGCTGTTTTCACACCAGCAGCTGCAATTTAAACAAAACTGGTTTGTTCGTTTGGTAAAAAAAATTCTAGTTTTCTTTTTTACAAAAAAGATATTTAGTTTTGCCCACTGCTTCAATGCAGATCAGGAATGCAGTGCAGTCTACAGATAACTTCTGGAAACAATGCAGCTACAGGGGTTCAGTAATAACCAGAACATCTTGTGTCAAATGCAGTATATGAGAGTAAACCTGCGGAGTCACTTTTCTCCAAATCTGTCTACAATAGCAGCCTGCGTTATGTAGTGCCCTTCACTTAGAGATGGCGTCTGGGAGCACTCTACAGTCTGACGCCAAGCAGGGGAGAGGGGGAAGTTAACATAAGAAAGGTCAAAGAGACAAGTCTTAAAGACTGATAGAGAGCGTGAGACAGAGGAGTGAAAGAGGGAGGTCCAGAGGTTAGCAGCATATAATCGGAAAGCACAGCCACCATCAGTGGTGGCGGGAAACCTACAGTAAATACGAGTACGTTGAGTGAAGAGTTCAAGCAAAGAAGTGGGGTAGGAGTAGACTAGAGAGACGGGGCAGTGCAAGAGGATAATAATAATAATAATAATCCTTGCATTTGATATAGCGCTTTTCACGTCGAGAGGACGTCCCAAAGCGCTTCACAGAACACACTGTAAAGTGAATTGACTGTATATTTGTGGGTGAACGCGGCAGCCAATTGCGCACAGCAATGTCCCACAAACAGTCGTGGATTGAAAATGACCAATTTATTATTGTTTTGTTTTGGAGGGATTATTATTAGGCTCTGTGTGGAGTAAGGAAACTTGCCCAAGGTTTCACCCTCTGCCTGGAATTGAACGCAAGTCTCTCTCTTGCAAAGCGAGTGCTCTAACCACTGAGCTACAGGACTCCACAAGTAAAAGTAATATGCAGGTGAGGATCTTGAAATTGAAATGTTGAGAGACAGTGGAATCTGGCAAGGACTGGGGTTCGGGCATAGACATAGATGGAGTTTTGAATAAGTTTTTGATAAAATTAGTCATTCACTTTATGACTGTGCTACCTTATTCACCTAGAAATACAGTTGAGGTCATATAATGTTAAGTCGCCTCATGTTAAAATCAGCATAATATTATACTAGGGCCATGCTTGGTAGGTTTTGTTAAGCGCTCTGGGACGCTACCCTATGTGAGGGGAGCTAGATAAATGCAAGTTATTGTACACATTTGAGTTTGCATTATGTTATACCATCACTCTGACATATGAAATCAGAAACAGAGAGACAAGTGGATAGTCCAATGAGAAGAGGCTGTTACAGTACAGTAGTTTAGTGCCCATAGTGGATTTTTTTGTGGATTCAATTTTGAAGATAAAAAACTAAATTACTGATTTATTTTTTTAAAACTGTAGTGAAATTAATGAGTTTTTTTTTTAAAGAACTTATCCTTGAAATTGTAAATGCCTTCAGAACAGTCTGGACAGGTTTGTAAGTGTTTATAAGGGAAGCTGCCCTATTGTTATCGTATGTCTACTGTTATAATTGTGTCCCGTCCAACGAAGTATAACTTTAAGCAGACTCGACTGTACCAACAATAACTTGCATTTATATAGCCCCCTTCACGCCAGACGTTGCGTTGGAGTGCTTACCCGGTCACTACTACAAAGTAAAATCACAGTAAATCCTGCTCCATCATTTGGCTCGGCAAAATACTAAACAATGCATTTCTACACTAACGTGACACTTTTACTCCTCACTCAAGGTTGTACACAGTACTACCTTGTATATCTAGCCCACAAAATACACTCAAATATTTTTCCTTTCGGGTACCAAATCACAGAAATTACAATAAGAGTATTGCACGCATTAAGCCAAAACTGATGCTAGCTCCTCCTCTAGACATACATGTTCTCATCCCAACTATTTATTTGATCAATAAGTTAATCCTCCATTTTTTCTCCTCACAGAGTATCTGAGATCCATAAATAAATCACTCTACCACTCAAGTATGGATATCCATCTCCGGAAGAAATCTATGTTTCTGATTCCCTCCAGCAAGACAAAGAGCGTTTAAATTAAGGGTCTTCGTGTAGCAGACACGAGTAAAGATTTCAAATACCCAATTACAAAGTCCAAACAAGATCAAATACTCATCATGTGTCACTGTACAGATAAACAAAGATGACAAATACTCACACAGACACACACACACACACACAGATGACACACACAAAATTCATAAGACTGAAATATACCATTTGGAAAATGACATAGAATTAGCTGCATCACAAGACATGTTTATATCGGTTATGTTTATATTGGTTTATGCTGATATGGGGGGAAAAAAAACTTTTTCCAAAAAAGAAACTATTCTGAGAACGGACATTTTAAGAGCAAAAACAAGATCCACATTTGCAACTAAACGGTTGTCAGAGCTCAGAAGGTTTTCAACCTCTTAATTTGCTGTTGGGAAATGCAAGATTCCTGGACGCCAGAAGACGACTCCAAGTGGATTTGACAGTGAAAAATATGCATTTCCCCCCAACCACAAGCGACGACCACTCTTTTTCGAAACACGTACTTTTTTGTGACCCCCCCCAAAAAAAATAGCTCACACGTCAGGGGCTCTGTTAAATATCTCACACACACACACACACAGATCCCACTGTTCCAAAATAAATCAGAAAGGCTCACTCGCTGTCTGTCTGTCTGTCATCATTGAGAGGCCGTTTAACTTGAGCACAACACCGAAATTGGTGGGTCCTCTCCTAATCCCGAACGGGATCAGGAAAATACAAACATAAACAAACCTCAAGCACAGGACACACACACACACACACACACACAACAGATGGGTGGATTCAGTGCTACAGGAAAGGCTTCTTCTCACAACCCACAGCCACAGCCACACAGACGCCCCTTATACCCCCTCTATCCTTTATTTTTTTAAAAATATATATATATATATAATAAAATGCGTCCCGCGGAGAAGCGAACTGAGATCGTGAGGGGGGGAAGGGGGTGGTGGGGTGAGGGTGAGGGGGGGAGGGGTGGGGGGGGAGTGGGGGAGAAGGTAAAGCAACTTCACACAGAACTGCGCCCGGTCTCTATAACTTGCTCTCGAGACGCCTTCGAGGCCTCTTTTTATAGGGACTGATTTATTGATTGGACACAACACACACAAAAAAAATCAAAGGCCCGACCCAGACCTCGGGCTCGCCCGGGCTGCGCTTCCCGGCCCCTGACACAAACTGTTCGGCGGGGAGGGGGGGGGGTTGGGGAGAGACAATGGGTTCGCCAACGGCCTCCTTTACCTTCTGCCTTTCGCCTCCTGGCGGGCGCTGTACCACAAGTCCCTCCACCAACTCGAGCGCCAGGCTTCCCCCCGGGGCCCTAGGCCATCCCTCCTCCCACAGGTTTGTGCGTCTATTGTTTGTAATGGTTGCCGCCGCCGCCTCCTCCTTCCTTCCCTCCCTCCTCCTTCTCCTCCTCCTCCTCGGAGCCCCCGACGCCGCCGCCCTCTCTCTTCCTCTTCCTCTCTCTCTCTCTCTCTCCGACGCCGTTGCGCTATTTTTTTTGTTAAAAGAGGATTAAAACATGGCGGAGGGTGCGGCGCATGCGCCCCAGGCCGACGTCGCCGAAATGCCTGAGAGCCGAGCGCGTTCGGCTGTCTCCGGCACAGGGTTCGGCTATTTCCGGCACGGGGTTCGGCTATTTCCGGCACAGGGTTCGGCTATCTCCGGCACAGGGGTCAGCTATCTCCGGCACAGGGTTCGGCTATCTCCGGCACGGGGTTCGGCTATTTCCGGCACAGGGCTCGGCTATCTCCGGCAACCGAGGGCCAGATCCCCAGGTTAAATGCATCTCCATCACTACACCCATGTCACCAATGGGAGAAAATAATAATCATAATAATAATAATAATAATTTACTGTTTGTGGGACCGCCGCGGGGCGCAACCGGCTGCCGCGTTTCACCCACCCGCGAAATATCCTTTTACACAAATAGAATTTTTTGGGGTTGTTGTTTGGGGTATATTCCCAGCAGCGCTTTGAAAGATCTCTCAACGACGCGATAAGGGGCTTTTATCAAATTCAAGGATTATTATTATCTCCGAAGGACATTGCCCTACACAAGTTCATACTGTGGCACAATCCTACAATTCCCCCCCCACCCGCCCTCTTAATTATTTGTTTGAAAACTAGCCTCATCTTTACACAGAGGATAGTCAACAAATTAGTTGCTCGGCTGGAACTCTTTGAGTAATAGCTCAAGGCTATTATTCTGGAATAATATATTCAAAAGCTCTCCATGGCTCAGCCCTCTCTTGTGATCTGGTCACTTTGGAACGAACAAACGCTCCCTGAAAATCATCTTTTTATGAGCTTGATGTAAAGTAAAACTCATGAAAGTTTTTATCTACTGCTGTACTACACGCGAAAAATCTAACTCTCAGAGCGCAAAACTGAAACGTGCATTTCAAAATATTTCATAAAATAAATGGTTTAAAAATCATTCCAGTAACTGCAAGTTTTCATACCTAACGCAGGTTTGTAGGTAATATGAACAACTTTACTTTTTATTTCAGATTTCTAGCATTTTTTGCATTTTCTTTTATCTACTTTGCTCATAATCCGCCCCAATTAAGCCACATACCCTATAGTTTTTCTGAGCCTTTTCCTTTTCTCGTACATAGAAATGGAAGTTGAGCCAGTTCCAACATTAACATTAATCCAATTAAATTAAAATTAACATTTTAATCCAATTTCATTTCTTTATTTCCATATCCCTTAATATTCTTACTTCCCAAGTCAATTTCTGGCTTTGCACAAGCACCTACTGTACTGGTACATAAACAATTCAATCCCATTAACAGAAGACAACTCCAATCTGCGCTGTAAATTACTATGATTTTATCTCACCATTTGTCATCTATAACAACAATAAAAGTATATTTATAAAGTGCTTTTCATGTCGGGAGGACGTCCCAAGCACTGAACAGTCGGTGATCAGGACCCGACTGTGAGGGGAGCAGCGTTGGGATGAGGGTGGCTGAAGGCAAGGTCAAAAAGGAGGGTCTTGAGTCGTGCCTTGAAGGAGACAAGGGAGAGAGCAAGGCAACGGGTGGGGGCAGAGAGGATGAAGTCCGGCCGCCAATGGTAGGGCAGATCGCGGGGGAGACATGGAGCAGCCCGGAGCCTGCTGAATGAAGGGAGCGGACAGGTTGATAGGGCGTCAGTAGACCAGAGATGTAGGAGGGCGCAAAGCCGTGGAAGGCCTTGAAAGTGAGAACGAAGATTTTGAATTCTATCCTCTGAGGGATGGGGAGCCAGTGGAGCCGGGCGAGGATGAGGGTGATGGGATCATGGAGCCTGGTGTGGGAGAGGACATGAGCTGCGAAGTTCTGGATCATCTGCAGCTTGTGGAGAAGTGTAGGGGAGGCCGTCAAGGAGGGAGTTTCCGTAGTCGAGCCTTGAAGTGGAGTCCTGTAGCTCAGTGGTTAGAGCACTCGCTTTGCAAGTGAGAGACCGGAGTTCAATTCCAGGCAGAGGGCGAAACCTCGGGCAAGTTTCCTTACTCCACACAGAGCCTAATAATAATCCCTCCAAAACCCAAAACCAAAATAAATTGGTCATTTTCAATCTACGACTGTTTGTAGGACATTGCTGTGCGCAATTGGCTGCCGCGTTCGCCCACAAATATACAGTCAATTCACTTTACAGTGTGTTTTGTGAAGCACTTTGGGACGTCCTCCCGACGTGAAAAGCGCTATATCAAATGCAAGGATTATTATTATTATTATTATTATAAATGTGTGTATGAGTATTTCGGCGGCCTGAGGGGTGAGGCAGTGGCGGAGTTGGATAATATTGAGGAGGTGAGGGAAGGCAGAGCTGATCATGGTACGGATGTGGGATAGAAGGACAGTTCAGGGTCAAACAAGACACCAAGGTTACAGACTGGCTCAGTAAGGTGGAGTTTGCATCCTTGGATGGTGATGCTGTCCGTGCCTGAGGTGTGAAGGCGCCATTGGTAGCTAATCAGGAGAGCCTCGGTCTTATTGACGTTCAACTGTAGAAAGTTAGCTTTCATCCAGGACTTGATGTCTCACAGACATTCTGTCAGTACAGCAGTGGCCCTTGAGTCGAGGATGGAGACAGAGAGATGGAATTGGGTGTTATCCGCACACATAATAATAATCCTTGCATTTGATATAGCGCTTTTCACGTCTTCTAAACGTCCCAAAGCGCTTCACAGAACACACTGTAAAGTGAATTGACTGTATATTTGTGGGCGAACGCGGCAGCCAATTGCGCACAGCAATGTCCCACAAACAGTCGTAGATTGAAGATGACCAATTTATTATTGTTTTTGGCTTTGGAGGGATTATTATTAGGCTCTGTGTGGAGTAAGGAAACTTGCCCAAGGTTTCGCCCTCTGCCTGGAATTGAACTCAGGTCTCTCGCTTGCGAAGCGAGTGCTCTAACCACTGAGCTACAGGACTCCACTGTGGAATTTAACCGTAGAATCATAGAATTATACAGCACAGAAGGAGGCCATTCGGCCCATCGTGTCTGTGCCGGCTCTTTGAAAAGAACTATCTAATTCAATTCCACTACCCACTTTCTCCCCATGGCCCTGCAAACTTGTCCTCTCCAAATAATTACCTACTTCTCTCTTAAAAGTTTTTATCGAATCAGGCAATGCATTACAGATCCCAACAACTCGCTGCGTGAAAAAAATTCTCCTCACCTCCCCTCTGGGCGAAGGACAGAACCTGAGAACGACGCCCGAGATGGTGCGGGGCTTAGAGGAGAAGCTGTCCGTGGAGATGAAGTGGAGACCGTGTGAGAGGTAGGATCTTTACCAGTCAAAGACAGAACCATGAAGATTGATGTGAGAGGAGAGGTGGTGGAAGAGGTCAGAGTGTGAAAGGGAGGGAGAGTTGAAGGGGTAAGCAACCAGAATCTCAGGGTTGTGCTTGCACACAGAACAGAGGTTGTTCGGCAAATCCATCACCCAATTTGTGTTTGGTCTCCCCAATGTAGAGGAGACCGCATTGTGAGAAATGAATACAGTATACTACATTGGTGGTAATTCCATTATACTACTTGTGACTTTCTACTTTAACTTACTTTCTGTCTTGCAACACATTATCAACATGACTATGTTTAATTACAATCCCCTGCAACCTGGGCCATAATCTTAAAACACTTAGTTGGGGTTTAGATGAACAAGTTAGAAAGCCACAAAGCACTCTGTATTCTGTCCATTGTCAACAGGTTGAAAACTACAAAACCACTGATAACAACAATAAGATTACATTTGTATTACGCCTTTCACATTGGGAGGACAGTATACAGTATTTCAGACCCGAATTGGGGTCAGTGGGGGAGAAGGGAGGGGAGGGGAAGGGGGGTGACCGATGGCATGGTCGAAGAGGAGGTTTTTGAGGGGGGACTTGAAGGAGGCTAAGGAGGGGGTGAGGTGGAGTGACTGGGGGATAGAATTCCAGAGGTTGGGGGCAGAGTGGCTGAAGGCTCTCCCGCCAATGGTGGGGCGGGTGGGTCGGGGGACGTGGAGCAGGCTGGAGCCGGCTGAGCGGAGGGAGCGGGCGGGTTGGTAGGGGGTTAGGAGGTCCCAGAGGTAGGGTGGGGCGAGGCCATGGAGGGCTTTGTAGGTGAGGACCAGGATCTTGAACTGGATCCTCTGAAGGATAGGCAGCCGATGGAGTCGGGCGAGAATGGGGGCAATGGGGTCGCGGAGTTTGGTGCGGGAGAGGACACGGGCTGCAGAGTTCTGGATTATCCGGAGCCTGCGGAGGGAGGAGTTGGGAAGGCCGTCAAGCAGAACGTTTGCATAGTCGAGCCTGCGGTGATGAAGGCATGAACAAGAGTTTGAAACATTGTTAGTGTTTGTGAAGGGGAAAAAATCACTGGCTTTTATGGTTAATGGCAATCAACCTATATGTAAAGGGAGCTAACAATTGAGAGGAGAGACCATAGAGATTATATACAAAATATACAGTTAATTCACTTCACAGTGTATTCTGTGAAGGGCTTTGAGAAGTCTCGAATACGTGATAAGGCGCTATATCAAATGCAAGGATTCTTATTATTAAAGGGCAGAATAGAGCAATTTGAAATGACAACATATAAACTCTACGTGTACTCCATGTTCACTGGTGTTTTCAATAGCTGCTTAACCCACTTGAAAATGAGAGGCATTGATGTGACTTCAACAGCCAACAATAGTTTCACATCAATACTTATTTAGGAGATTTTTCAAAGGAAATAATCAAATGGTGTGTATAGAGGTGAAAGTCACCTTTCATTGCTGTGAAGGAGTATTGAAGCATTTTCCACTCAATTTAACAAAGTGTGTGTGTGTTTTTAAATCAGACACTTCAAGTAAATGGAATCCCATTTTCAACATTCATACAATTTATGATCCTCAGTTATAGACACAAACTGTTATTCATGGGCCAAATTCTGCGCTGTATTTTCTTCAATAATATACCATTTGGTTCAGCATCTCACCAACAACAACAAGATTCCATTTATAGAGCGCCCTTCACGTCGGGAGGACGTCCCAAGGCGCTGTACAGTTGGGTCAGGACCCGAGCAGGGGGGAAATGGTCAGGGTGAGGGGAGGGAGCGAGGAGGGGGTAGGGAGTCGAGAGGGGAGCTGAAGGCTGAAGGTCAAAGAGAAAAGTCTTGAGACCGGCCTTGAAGGAGGAAAGGGAGGAGGCGGCGAAGGCACTGGGGGATGGAGTTCCAGAGCCTGGGGGCTGAGAGGCTGAAGGCCTGGCCACCGATGGTAGGGCGGTTGGGGCGGGGGATGTGGAGCAGACCGGAGCCAGAGGAACGGAGGGTACGGGCAGGTAAGTAGGGGGATAGTAGGTCGGAGAGGTAGGAGGGAGCGAGGCCGTGAATGGCCTTGTAGGTGAGGATGAGGATCTTGAATTCGATCCTCTGGGGGATGGGGAGCCAGTGGAGGGGAGCGAGGGTGGGAGTGATGTGGTCGCGAAGACTGGTGCGGGACAGTACACGAGCTGCAGAGTTCTGAATGACCTGCAGTGTGGAGGGAGGTAGCGGGAAGGCCGGCGAGGAGAGAGTTCCCATAGTCCAGCCTTGAGGTGATAAAGGCGTGGACCAGAGTTTCAGCCGCGTGAGGGGTGAGGTAGTGCCGTAGTCTGGCGATATTCCGGAGGTGATGGAAGGCGGTGCCAGTTGTGGCGCGGATATGAGGGAGAAAGGACAGTGTTGAGGCATCTCAAAGCACTTCAAAGGATTTATTGTAAAATGGTGTGATTGTGTATTTTGTGGGAGAACATAACAGCCAATTTATGTACCGTAATGGCCCACAAGCAGCTATGGAGTGAGAAACCAATATTATTTCAGGGATTGTTGGCCACTACACAAAGATAAACTTCCCTATTTTTTGAATAGTGCCATGGGATCTTAGTGCCATGGAATCTTGCCATCCACCCAAACAGGCAGATGGGACCTTGCTTTAACATCTCACCTGAAGGACAGCATCTCGACAATACAACACATTCTCGGATTGATCAGCCTAGACTATATGGATCCCAGGTCTGCCCATCTCTCCAACTCGGTTGTGAATGCTACCAACTGAACCAGACTGACAGTTGTTAATATATCTGGGACCTGCTCACTCCATACACACCTGTCCGTTCCCTGCGTTCAGCTGGCTCAGGCCTGCTCCATGTCTCCTGCCACGTCTGCCCCACCATCGGTGGTTGGCCTTTCTACTCCCACCCTTTGCAGCTTCATCCCATTGTCCCTTCCCCTCCTTCAAGACCGTCCTCTTCGACCACGCCTTCGGTCACCCTCCACCCGTCCTGATCCCAACCCCAGCTCAAGTCCAAATCCATGACTGTCCAGTGCCTTGGGACGTCCTCCCGATGTGAAAGGCCCTGTACAAGTGTAATTTGTTGTTTTGATTTAATACTATTTCAATATCTGATTATCTTCATCTTCAAAAGTCTTAACTTTTTTTCGCCAATTTACTTCTCCTAACATCTGCTGTGGAGAAGTTCCAAGGTTACCAACCACCCAAGTTGACTTGAGCATTCCCTTTTATATAAAGTCTCAGATAATTCTCTAATTCTCATTTTAAAGCTATTATGGATTCAACCAATCATTGTTATAAGGACATTGCATAACACACTGCGGCAAATCAATTTTCACCTGAAAAAATATAGTGGCAAACAGCCATGGAGTGATGACCAATATCCGGAGGATTGTCGGCCAGGACACCAGGAATAGCTCCCTTCACTTTTCAATGCCACAGGATCTTTAATGTCATGAAGGGCCGTCAGGAAATCAGTTTCATGACTCATCCAAGAACAGCACCTCCCATAACCCAGCAAAACTGATGTGTCATCTGACATACAAGGTTTGAATCGCCAATCTTTTGACACAAGTAGTATCAGTTGACACCATAATCTGCATTTGCTTCTTCTTGAACATCCCAGTAAAACCATTTACCTTCAGCGAATATTAGCCTCTTCCTACCAACTCGTCCGCAGTCTGCGTTTTCTCATTTTTTCCCTGCTACTTCAGTCCTGCCCGAAATCTTAACTAGTCTTTCTGTTTTGGATGCCGATCGACTTCAAGCGTTTGTTGCGTTCTGTCAACATCTCTAATTTTGCTTCACTCTTGGTGATTTTGTTCCTATCTTCTAGTCATGCAATCCTGGTTTGAGTTAAATAAATTCCCCAAATATGCGATGAATTAGATGCATCTGCAAAAGTGGGAGGATGGTTAAGACATTTTAAGATTCTCGGCTCTAAAATATACTTTCATTTCTGAAAATAAAGTGAATCCATTAAAGTTTAGAAATGCATACAATACAAAAATTATATTTGTTTAGCACCTTTCACGACGGAAGGACGTCCCAAGACGCTGGACCTGAGCCTGTATATACAGGACCCTTCACCCAGGGCAGCGACTTGGAGCGCTTAACAATAATAATAATCCTTGCATTTGATATAGCGCTTTTCACGTCAGGAGGACGTCCCAAAGCGCTTCACAGAACACACTGTAAAGTGAATTGACTGTATATTTGTGGGCGAACGCGGCAGCCAATTGCGCACACTGATGCCCCAGGAACAGTCGTGGATTCAAAATTACCAATTTCTTATTGATTTTTGTTTTGGAGGGTTTATTATTAGACTCTGTGTGGAGTAAGGAAACTTGCCCAAGGTTTCGCCCTCTGCCTGGAATTGAACTCAGGTCTCTCGTTTGCAAAGCGAGTGTTCTAATCACTGAGCTACAGGACTCCACTTAACAGTGGCGGAGCTTTACACTGAGCCTGGGGTGGAGGCGAGCGTATTCCCGTTAACTATTTTAGGACAATAAAATCGCAACACATAATATTCTTGATAAAAATGATCCCCCTTCCCCTAAACAAATGGATATTTTCTGACTACTCTGCAATTTGTAAGCACTGTCATTCCACACAGCGTACAAGCACATTTGGTACATTGTTCCGGCGCTTCAGAAACAATGTCTGCATTGCTGATGCACATTTCACCAAAACAAGCGCTCAGTTCATTAACAAACGAAGACGCTATCACCAATAAACAGAGAACGTTCAAATGCATTCTCTTTATTGAAGAACGTGAAAACAGCTGCAGACATCATCGCTTCCCCCGCCACACCGCACATTTAAGAGAAGCCACTGGTTAAAGCGTTATCACCAATTTGTACCATTTTAATAAACTTGCATTACAGCAACAAACGGAAGTGGTTGGGAACACTTAGCAGATCAGGCAGCAGCTATGGAGAAAGAAAAGTGAGTCAACATTTCGGGTCCATGACCCTTCGTCAGAACTCTATTCTGTTTTTGTTTCAGGTTTCCAGCGTCTACATTACAGTAAGATGGAATTACAATTAAAGTTCAGCAAAATTAAATCAGCACTGATTTCACAACTAACCTAAGGCTATAATTTACCGCAAGCGATTCTGTCTTTATATGCAGGGAAGGATTATTTGTTGCTTGGTTTTTTTTTGGAAGGAATTTCAAGAACCAGAAAGTCTTCAGCTAGTGTTACCTCCTGTCCTTCCAATATCAACTCAGCCTGCGTCTTCAGTTCCAAGACATTGTCATCTCCTTCATTGATCAGGCTTGCCGGTTTGTACCGCTGACTGAAATGAGTCAGGACCAGCCTTTTAACCTTACACGACTTTGCAAACTCTGCCGCCGTTTTTGGAGTGCAGTGTCCGTGCTCCTTGGCCTTGTCCGCCTGGCTGTCGTCCAGAGTCGCCTCGTGTACCAGAACGTCAGCATCAAGGCAGAGCTTCTTACCTACATCACCCACAATCCCAGAGCAATCTCCTAAAATACAGATTTTTCGGCCCGGTACAGGACCCTCGAGCACATCCATTGGAAAGACAGTCTCTCCATTGTCCAGAGTAATGGCTTGTCCATTTTTCAGTTTCCCATACAAAGGTCCTGGATGAACACCTAGAATCATAAAGATATATATATATATGAACAAAACATTCAGAAACAAAGAACAGATGTAAAAAAATAGAGGTACAGTACGTAAATACTAACTTTTCATTCCTAATCCGCAAGTTGCTCTGCTCCTCTCAATTTCACATTTTGAATATTCAATTAATTTCTAAAGACATCTGAACTGAGAAAAAACGCAAAACTGTAATATGCAATCTCCTAAATTACCTACCGATCACCTCCCTTCCGGACTATTCCTTCCACAAAAGCCTAATGTATCATTCATGTCTAACTCATTTCTCATGTTAAACCAAGTGTCCCATCCGATAATAATAATACTTGCATTTGATAGAGCACCTTATCACACCTTCAAGACATCTCAAAGAGTTTCACAGAATACACTGTAAAAGCAAATTGACTGTATATTATTATTGAACCTCGGTAATTACAAAATGAAGACATTGAACATAGTTACAAAATGAATAGGAGTTAATTGAAGATGTGAAAACAGTGATGGTGAACAAATGCTTAACACGTTACCTGCCTCTCTGGACATTTAAACGGGATTACCATCCATGCCATTATGGCAGAGTACTTTACAGAAGGAAGATGATTTCACCTACTGAGCAACCATTTTAATACAAAGCAAAGAGAAATTCAAAATATTTTACCAGTAATGTTCTTTAGTTCTCATATTAAGCCCTTGATCAACAATGTTTTTCTTCACCTCTGCCACACTGCCCGTCCCTGCCCTCTCACCAAATGCCGCCGAAGACTTTATTCCTGCCGGTTACCTTCTACAAGGACTATTCGGATGTGCACTCTTCGCTCGTTTCCCTAGTTCCATTACCAATAAGCTCCAGCTAATTCAAACCTCCACTATCCACACCAAGCTCCACGGCTCACATCCTCACACACTCAGTACACACGTCCATTAACTCAGTCCTCATTAGTATCCCAGTCTCTCAACAGATGGACTTCAAAGTTCTAACTTCATGCCCTAGAACCAACCTAAGTCCGATCTTCCCCTAACCCACTCCTACGCTTGTCCTTCCTTCCACTGCTACCAGGTTTGCTGTGCATCCCCCGTCTAAAGGATAGAGGGATTAAGGGATATGGGGATAGGGCGGGTGCCCTATAATTGCGAAGCATTTTGACACCTTATTGAATGTGAAGGGTGCCATGCAAGTTGCTGTTGACAACGGCAAATTAAGATGCTCCGCTGAACAGCCAACTGGGAATATATAAAGCTTAATTCCGCAAGTTGTAGTCAACACCTCGGCCGGTGTTGCCAAGTACACCTCCTAACTGTCACACCATGGTTGTGTGATCCGATTCCAAACTCTACCCACTCAAACAGATTTATAAATAGTCGTAGTCGCCTCCAATAGAAACATTTTTAAACTGAATTTTGAGAAGATGAGATCCTTGCGTAAAAGGAAAAATAATTATTTGAGTAAGGCAATCACGGCCCACACATTTAATGAATAATTCAACTAGCAATGAACCGGGAGCATTCTTCTTCTCCTAAGCACCCAGGAAAGGAATCCTGGCAGAGAGAAAGGCAGAGAGAAAATACAATATCTATTATACGCCCACGTTTTTTGAATTTCGACTGTTACCACAAAGAAACAGCCATTTGGTGCCTCAAACCAGAACTGTTTTTTTTCCCCCCACACAGATTTATTCTAATCCCACTCCTACTCACTCACTCCTTTAATTGGCTGCCACCTTTTGGACACAAAATACACAGTTAATTCACTTTACAGAGTATTCTGAAGTCCTTTGAGGCGTCTCAATGATTTTAATATATATCAAATGCAGGGGTTATTATTATTATTTTTAAATGTCCAATTCTTTTTTTAACCTACTGACAATTGACTAGTAGTAATTCCACAGGATCTACTGTACATTGGCTAGTTGTAGGAGCTTGACGGTCAGCACGCCACTCAACTGTAAATGATGTAATTGGCGAGCCTGATCTCTCCCCAACTGGCTATATATATACACATGTGTTCAATCTGTAGTTATATTCTAAATAATTGCCTTTTAACATAATTTATGGACTCCTCCTCAACACAATTTGTAGCAGAGCACTGAAAGAGCGGAAAGAGCCTGAAAGAGCGGTGGAAGTCGACTGAATAATAACTTTCAAAAGGGAATTGTACGTATGCTTGAAAAAATAAAAAAAAGCAAGTTTATGGGGAAAGAGCGGGAGGGTGGGACTAACTGGATCTTTCAAAGAGCTGGCACAGGCACGATGGGACGAATGTCCTCCTTCTGTGCTGTAGGATGCGATCATCCTATGAGAATTCCACATACGGCCGCCCTCTATCCCTGTTACTGCATAATGTCCATTTTCAAAATAACGTTTTAAAGAATAATTTTCTTTAAAAAAGGGAAACAGCATTTAACTAACTGCAGAATGGAAACCAATACCCATATCCTTCAGTTTTTGTGTCAGAAGTCTGCCTGGACGCTCCTTTTCCTCAATGACAAAGCCGAAAGATGGTATTCGATGGAAGAGCTTGAAAGCTTTTACGGTGAAGTGTTTGTGGTCAAGGAGATGATAGCAGTTTTCCTGAGGATCAAGATGAATTGTTTTTCCTTGCTGTTCCTGAGGATGAAGCTGGTCATCTGCCTTTTGATCAGACGGGTATCTCCATTCTTCGGGAAAACATTGATCTTGGGTCGGAATCAGCTCGTGCACCACGTACGGGAAGTTCAACTGCGACTGAGAAATTCCCAAACATGTCCGCAGATATTTCCGTAATCCAACAGGTCCGTAGATCTCCAAAGGCTGCTTTACGGACGTGGAACTGCACTGAAGGCTCACTGTACACAGGAGGCCCGGCAAACCGAACAGGTGATCACCGTGGAGATGAGTAATGAAAACCTTAGAGATTTTTCCTGAAAAACAAAGATTTCAGAGGAAATTACCACATCATTCATTCATTTAAAAAAAAAGGAACCATAGGAGTGGGTTTTAACGAAAAACAGCTCAACTGCGGCAGCAAAATACACTGCAAAGAACCAAGTCCAGGAGCCAATTAAGATGATGTTTGTTGGGGGCGCGGGAGGAGGGATTGAATTTAATAATAATAATCCTTGCATTTGATATAGCGCTTTTCACGTCGGGAGGACGTCCCAAAGCGCTTCACAGAACACACTGTAAAGTGAATTGACTGTATATTTGTGGGCGAACGCGGCAGCCAATTGCGCACAGCAATGTCCCACAAACAGTCGTGATTGAAAATGACCAATTTATTATTGTTTTTGGTTTTGGAGGGATTATTATTAGGTGTGTGGAGTAAGGAAACTTGCCCAAGGTTTCGCCCTCTGCCTGGGATTGAACTCAGGTCTCTCACTTGCAAAGCGAGTGCTCTAACCACTGAGCTACAGGACTCCGATGAATTAATTAATTTGATTAATGACGCAAAAAAAAAGTCTCTTTGCTGCATTTTGTGGGAGATTCGGTGCTTCAGACAAGATCCTTGTCTGATCGCGGGGCGAGGGTCTGATTCTCACGGGGTCCCGTCCCGGCCAACAATCCCTCCAATAAAATCGGTCCACGACTTCACGTGTGTTTGTGGCAGATTTCCGTACGCAAATTGTCAGCAGCGTTCAGCTACAAGATCGGTGCTCCTTAAAGTATATCCTTGGGTTTATAGCCGCTACGCCCCCAAACTCTGGGACGCTCTCCCTTAATCCTAATGCCTTGCCCCCCCCGCTCCCCCTTTTCACACCCCGCCTGAAAACCTTCCTACATCGACCGTGCTTTCGGCCACCACCGGCCCCCCGGCTCGGATTCAGGCTCCGCCACCGTTAAGCGCTCCGAGACCCGACCCTGCGCTGCGCGGAGAGCGCTGTGGAGTCCTGTGGCTCAGTGATTAGAGCACTCGCTTTGCAAGTGAGAGACCGGAGTTCAATTCCAGGCAGAGGGTGAAACCTCGGGCAAGTTTCCTTACTCCACACAGAGCCTAATAATAATCCCTCCAAAACAAAACAATAATAAATTGGTCATTTTCAATCCACGACTGTTTGTGGGACATTGCTGTGCGCAATTGGCTGCCGCGTTCGCCCACAAATATACAGTCAATTCACTTTACAGTGTGTTCTGTGAAGCGCTTTGGGACGTCCTCCCGACGTGAAAAGCGCTATATCAAATGCAAGGATTATTATTATTATTATTATTATTATAAGTTGTGGAGAAGCAATCGGGAGACATCCGACTGGAGTGAAAGGTCATATATTATGTAAAATATAAAAAAGGAGTTTTATACAAACGCGTTATTTAATGAATAGTTATATTAATGAATTAACCATCAATTAATTAATCAACAATTAAATAATGAATAAATAATTAAATGATAACTAAATAATTAATGAACGATTTGTTGACAACTAAATAATGAATTAATAAGAATTAAATAATTAATCGACAACCGGACAATAATTAAATAATTAATTAAAAATTAATGTTAATTGAATAATTAATTAAAAAATAATTTAAAAAATAATTTAAAAAATGTAAAAATAAATAACAATTAAATAATTAATTAATAAACATTCATTGATAATTAAATAATTAATTGATAACTCGTCGATGATTAAATTATGAATTAACAGTTAAATGGTAATTAAACAATTAATTGATAATTAAATAATAATTAAATAATTAATTAGTGATTAAATGATAATTAAACAATTAGTTATTAATTAATAAATAAATAACTAATAATTAATTAACAGTTAAATAATGAATTAATAATAAATAAATAACAATTAATTGACAATTAAATAATGAATTAATAATTAATACATAAATAACAATTAACTAATTAATTGATAATTAATGAATAACTAATAATTAATTAACAGTTATATCGTGAATTAATAATTAATAAATAAATAACAATTAATTAACAATCAACTGATGAATGAATAATTAATAAACAAACAAATAACAATTAATTGACAATCAACTAATGAATTAATAATCAATAAACAAATAAATAACAATTAATTGACCATTAAATAATGAATTAATACATAAATAAATAACGATTAATTAACAATTAACTAATGAATTAATGAATAACTAATAATGAATTAACAATTAAATAATGAATTAACAATTAAATAATGAATTACTGATTAATAAATGAATAACTAATGACTTAATTGACAATGGAATAATGAATCACTAATCCCCGAATGACCGTTAATAGTAATGAACCGTTGACCATATTATTATTATTATGACAGTGTCGCGGCCGCGCAGTGCGGTCTGAGCCCTGAGGGCCATTACCCGCTCTCAGAGCGCTCCTCAGGACCTGTGTCTGAGTGCCTTCGCCGCAGTCGAACAGCCAACACTCGCCCTCGTGACGCCACGCGACCGCCGAGGCTCCGCGGCTCCGGGACGGGAAGGCCGCGCCCGTCCCCAGGAACGTCAGGTCCACCGCCATAGCCTCCCCTCACCCTCACACTCACTCACTCACTCCCTCTCCCTCACTCCCTCTCCCTCTCCCTCACACTCACCCTCACTCCCTCACTCTCTCCCTCTCTCTCTCACTCCCTCCCTCACTCCGCGCCCGTCCCCAGGAACGTCAGGTCCACCGCCATAGCCTCCCCTCACCCTCACCCTCACTCACTCCCTCACTCACTCACTCCCTCACACTCCCTCTCCCTCACACTCCCTCTCACTCACTCCCTCACTCACTCACTCCCTCACACTCCCTCTCCCTCACACTCCCTCACTCACTCTCCTCACTCTCTCACTCCGCGCCCGTCCCCAGGAACGTCAGGTCCACCGCCATAGCCTCCCCTCACTCACTCCTTCCCTTCCTCTCTCTCTCTCTCCCTCTCTTACCTCCTTCTTCCCTCCCCCCTCTCTCTCTCTCCCCCTCACTCCCTCCCTCTCTCTTACTCCCCCCTTCCGTCTCTCTCTCTCACTCTCCCTCACTCTCTCTCACTCACTCTCTCTCACTCCCTCCTTCCCTCTCTCTCTCCCTCCCTCTCTCTCACTCCCTCCCTCCCTCTCTCTCACTCCCTCCCTCCCTCTCTCTCTCACTCCCTCCCTCCCTCTCTCTCACTCCCTCCCCCTCTCTCTCTCACTCCCTCCCTCCTCTCTCTCTCACTCCCTCCCCCTCTCTCTCTCACTCCCTCACTCTCTCTCACTCACTCCCTCCTTCCCTTCCCCTCTCTCTCTCTCACTCCCTCTTACCTCCTTCTTCCCTCCCCCCCTCTCTCCCCCTCACTCCCTCCCTCCCTCTCTCACTCCCTCCCCCTCTCTCTCTCTCACTCTCTCTCACTCACTCCCTCCTTCCCTTCCTCTCTCTCTCTCTCACACTCCCTCTTACCTCCTTCTTCCCTCCCCCCCCTCTCTCTCCCTCTCACTCCTTCCCTCCCTCTCTTACTCCCTCCTTCCCTCTCTCTCTCTCACTCCCTCACTCTCTCTCACTCCCCCCCTCTCCCCCACTCCCCCCCCCTCCCCCCCTCTCCCCCACTCCCCCCCTCCCCCCCTCTCCCCCACTCCCCCCCTCCCCCCCTCTCCCCCACGCCCCAAAATCAATCGGAAATAATCTTTAAAATTAAGTAAAATCGATAAAAGTCTAACAAAAAGACAGGCATCTCACATCGACATCGACTGACCGGTCGGTCAAGGGGAGAGAGAGAGAAAAGATATCTCTATATATAAATATAATACTGAATATTAATATATATATCGATAGATAATTTAATATATATTTATATATAATATATTTTATATATTTTACCTAATAATTATATATAATCTAAATACGAATGCAATCAAAAAATTAGAAATGTTACGACAAATGGGAAATAGCAATGAATCACTTGATAGAAGCGAATAGATATTCACCAGCGAACAAAGAAATTATAAGTTTTGATTTCAATATGAAACAAATGAAAGAAAGGGTCTAAAATCCTGGCAGAGAGTCTCATCCCCTCCCTCGAGCGCCCGAACCAACCGTGCGGCTGAAGGGGAGAGAGATGGAACTGAATTAAATCATTGTAAATGAAATAAATGTTAAAACGATTCAAGAAAAATACGAAATTAAAGCCTTGGCAACGGATCTGCTTCTCTCCTCTGTGGTTTATACACGTGGACTGACTAACGCCATCGCCTGGTCGTCGACTCATTCAATAAAATAAATGTTCAAATGATTAAATAAACCTGAAGAAGAATATAAAAGCCGACAAACCCGGCTGAGCGTCCGGTCCCTGGCGCCAACCAACCAACAACAACAACTTGGATTTATACGGCGCCCTCCGCGCCGGATGGCGTCTCAGAGCGCTTCACGGTAACGGATCCCGGGGCCGAGCCAGGGGGAGGAGGAGGAAGGTGAATAAAGGTGCGTTCGAAAAGAAAGGTCTTCAGCCGAGACCTGAAAGTAGGAAGAGTGGGAGCGAGGCAAAGGCAGTGAGGAAGGCAGTTCCAGAGCCTCGGGGCGTAGTGGCTGAAGTCCATGGCCGCCGATGGAGCGGAGGACTCGGGGGACGAGGAGGAGGTCAGACCCGGTGGAGCGGAGGCGACGGGCACTGTTGTGAGGAGAGGAGAGAGGTGGTCAGAGAGGTCGAGGGTGGGTGGGGGGGGGTGCAGAGGAGTGGAGGGATTTGAAGACGAGAGTGAGGATCTTGAAGTCGATCCTCTCTGGCAGAGGCGGCCAGTGCAGTCTGGCCAGGACTGGGGGGATCGGGGAGCGGAGTTTTGTGCGGGTCAGAATGCAGGCGGCGGAGTTCTGGATGAGAACTGGTCCAACAGGGTTGTTAGACATTAAAATACGTCTCTCGCCCCAATTCAACCAAATACCAGCTCAGTATTCTAAACACAAAACCATGCGTTGCCTCCCTACGGATAGCAAAGTGACCGACTTAGGTTTTGTGCAAAAACAATCCGCCCAATCTGGCCGCATTGCACCCACCTTACGTGCCCACCCACTCATCTACCTGCCTACCTACCCACCCACTCGCCTACCTACCTATCCAACCACCAACCCACCCATCTACCTCTCCGCCCGCCCATCTACCTCCACACCCACCCACCCACCTACCTACCTACCTACCTACCATACCGACAATGTTGACCGGGTTCTTCTGCGAAAACAAAATTGGCCGCCGTGTTTCCCCCACAAAAATATACAATTGACTTTACAGTATATTCTGCGAAGAAGCACTTTGAGACGTCTCGAAGACGTGATAAGACGCTATATCAGGTGCAAGGATTATTATTATTTCTGTGCATGGAAAAAAAACAGCTTTGGGTGGGTGCCTAATATTTTTTAAACCGCTATGAAGACCTTTTCCTATACAAAAGGACTATAACCTAAATCTGCCCACTCATCTACCCACAGTAGGCAACGCTTAATGTTGGCCGAGTTTTGGGCTACTGTTTGGTTGTCTTTGGGCTAAAACGTTATTTTAATTTCTGGTAAACCTGCACACCTGATGGCCAAGAGGGAAGAGGGAAATAAAATAAAGAAATAAACACGTTAGAAGAAGAACAAATTCGAAGGGTGAGAGGACGAGTGAATGGAACAAATTGCATAACGAAATTAACCGAATCAGTTAAATAAAGGAAATAAAATAGGATGTACTGTAAAGTATTGTGACTGGGCCATTTGAGAGTGAAATCAGGAAGAATTTTTTCACTCAAAGGTGGGAGAAATCTGGAATTCTCTCCCCCCAAAAGACCGTGGATGCTGGATCCATCCAGACCTTCAAGAGTGAGGTTGATAGGTTGGTAGGTCAGGGGATTAAGGGATATGGAGAAAGCAGAAATTGGAATTGAAACGATTAGTTGAGGTACAGATCAGCCATGATCTAATTAAATGGCGGAACAGGCTCAAAAGCCTGAACGGCCTCCTTATGTTGCTATATATATATATTTTGTAGGTGAAACGCATTCTTACCCGCACCAAACTCCACTCGCCGATCCCCCCAGTCCTGGCCAGACTGCACTGGCTGCCTGTCCCAGAGAGGATTGACTTCAAGATCCTCACTCGTCTTCAAATCCCTCCACTCCTCTGCACCCCCCCCACCTCTCTGACCTCCTTTCTCCTCACAACAGTGCCCGTCGCCTTCGCTCCACCAGGTCTGGCCTCCTCTTTGTCCCCCGAGTCCTCCACTCCACCCTCGGCGGCCATGCCTTCAGCCACTATGCTCTGAGGTTCTGAAACTCCCTTCCTCACTCCCTTCGCCTCACCCCCTCTCTTCCTATTTTCAGGTCTCGGCTGAAGACCTTTCTTTTCAACCGCGCCTTAGGTCACCTTCCTCCCTCCCCGTGGCTCGGCCCCGAGATCCGTCACTGTGAAGCGCTCTGAGATGGCGCCCGGCGTGGAGGGCGCCATATAAATCCAAGTTGTTGTTGTTATTGTAGCAGCCAATTGGCAAAGCAGTGTCCCACAAACAGCCGTGGATTGCATGACTAAATTATTATTATTATTTTTGAAGGGATTAATTCCTCCGGAAAAGCGATCTGCCATTCGACTAACATCCGGATTCCTACTTACTGCGAGGTAAACAGAGACGTGTGGTGTAAGGAAACTTCCCTAAGGTTTTGCCCTGAAATAAAAATATTAATACCAATCCTTGCATTCGGTACAGCACCTTATCACGTCAATGAGACGTCACAAAGCGCTTCACGGAATATATCGTGAAGTGAATTAACTGTGTATCTTGCGGGCGAAACGCAGCAGCCAATTGGGGATTATCATCCCATGATAATTAATTAATTAAACAATTGATTAAATGATTAGTTGATTGAAGAAACCCAGGAGGGGACGCCGAGAGCAGAGTTCGCCGTCCCTTTTTCTTCGCCAACCGCCTCGCTGGGCTGACGGAAAAAACGGGAGCGAAAAATAAACTCGGGCGACGATACAAGTCACAGACCAAAAAAAAGTACAGCCGATATTTTGTGAGTTATTCACAGTACGTTCCGCGCGGCGCTTTGGAGAGGTCTCGGTGAGGACGCGACGACCGCTGTCGTCATTAAGAATAATCCGTAAAAAATATCAACTCGGAAACGCTTCACCAGGATGTGCCGTAAAGTGTAGTGACTGTTGTCTTTTCTTTTTGCGCGGGCGATAACGCGGCAGCCGACTCCGCGGGGCAGCGTCGCCCACAAACAGCCGCGGATTCAAGCCACCAAACTATTATTATTATTTTTTTTAAAAAATCTCATTAAAATATAATTTATTTTAAAAAAGAATTGTTTTTTTTTAAAAAAAGCAGGAAAACAATGAGATGAAATAAATAAGAACAAAACGATATTAGAGGAAGAAAACGCCGAGAAACCCCTCCCCCCCCGTCTCACCCTCGGTAACCGTCACTTTCTCCAACTTTCCTTTTAAAAGATAACGGACTTTCGAGACCACTGCTGTTTGAAATCGCCGGCCTTCGCGCGCTCGGTTTCACGCCCCTCCTCTACGCCCCCCACCCGCATCGGGCGGTTTCACGCCCGAATTAGGCGGTTGCGCTCTCTCTCGCTGCTTTGTGCTTGAAGCTATATATATATATACAACTCCTTATCATGTCATTGAGACGTTTCAAAGCGCTTCACAGGATACGCTAAAGCAAAGCCTTGAGACCCTAAAAGACGTGAAAAGCGCTATATCAAATGCAAGGATTATTATTATTTTATTATTATTTATTATCGTACACTGTAAAGGGGAATGACTGTAAATTGCAGGCGAACGCAGCAGCTAATTTGCGTGCAGCAGTGGCCCCCCCCAAACAGCCATGGAGTGAGTGACCAATTTTATTTGGGGGATCTTTTTGGACAGGATACGATAAAACCACTTCCCTCACCCACCCCCTCTTAATCTCTTTTAATCTTAATCTTAATCTCTTAACCATGTCTCTTAATCTCTTTTTTTTTATTGTCGGATAGGTGTCTCAGCCCCATGGAAAACAGCCATCATGTGTCCAAAGAATACCCAAACCAGCCAATTCCAGAGGGCGTGAGGCACAGTTGGCAAGAGCCAAGGATTGAAAACCCAAGGGTCCTCTGAGAGCGTAACTCCTGGAGTTACCACAGCTTGCCATTGAAAACAAACGTCGAGCAAGCTTCCCACTGCTTATCCAGCTCGGAAGATTGAACTGGGTAGGGAGTTAAAGCATTATGAGCCCCTGACAAAGTACAGTAAGTCCAAGTCAACCTGGTTCAGTTGGAAGTGCTCTTGCCTTAGATCAGAAGGTTCTGGGTTTAGGCTCCATGTCATAAATCTGAACTCAGTCTTGGCTGATAATGCAGCGCTGGAGGTGCCATCCTTTCAGAGATGTTAAACGGAGTTCTCAGCTGCCTTTCCAGGTTGGTGATGAAGGTTCCAGGGTAGTAAAAAAAAAAGTTCTCTTAAAAAGAGAAAGGAGTTCCTCCCGGTGTCTTGGTGTCCTGGCTAACAATCCCACAGATAAAATGGTCTATTCGCTTTACGGCTGTTACTGTGCATAGATTTGGCTGTCAAGAATTTTGACAAGAATGCACTCTTCACGTCAGGATGACATCCCAAAGCACCTGGATAGGCACCTAAACTAGGATGCCCTGAATAATATGTGCTCTGAATGAGAGTAGGGATAGAGTCAGAGGGACTCCGGGATGGTGTTCCAGAGAGCAGCTGCAGAATGGCTGAAAGGTTGCTGACAGTGGAGAAGACAGGACAGGGACATGAGGCAGGTTGATGCTCGCTGAGCAAAGGGAGTGGCCGGGTCAAGAGGGTTGAGGAGATTGCAGAGATCCACTGGAGGATAGAGAGCCAAAGCAGCCGAGCGACAATAATAATAATAATCCTTGCATTTGATATAGCGCCTTATCACATCTTCGAGAAATCTCGAAACGCTTCGCAGAATATACTGTAAAGTGACTGTACATTTTGTGGCCAAAACACAGCAGCCAATTGCTGTGTCCCATTTATTAGTGACCAATTTATTATTTTATTTGTTTATTTATTTTTTAGAGGGGACTTTTATTCCCAGAAAAGCTTTCTGCCAATCGCCCAAAACCAGGTTCCTATATAGGTAAACAGAGGTGTGTGGAGTAAGGAAACCTGCCCAATGTTTCGTCTTGTCCAGGAATCAAACCCAGGTCTCTCGCTTGCAAGGCGAGTGCTCTAACCACTGAGCTACAGGACTTCTACGTGGGGGTGATAGGCTCACAGAGACACAAGGCTTTGTGCTAATAGCAGGAATGATTATTACCACAAGTTGAAGTGAATCTTTGCTGTCTCTAAATGTCCGTGGTTATGAACCAATCTACTATCCACTGCTCATGGTCTGTTCATGTCGCCACTATCTTTCTGAAACAATAACAAATTACACATGTACAGCGTCTTTCACGTCACGGGGACGACCCAAGGCATTGGACAGTTAGGGGTTTGTACCCGAGCTGGGGGCTGGGATCAGGAGGGTATGGGAGGGCAGAGGGGGTAGGGGTAGGAGGGTGACCGATGATGAAACTGGCTGTTGTGAATTGGACAGCATATCCGACAGTGGTGACAAGAATACATAAAGATTGCTGACAAAGCCAACCATCTGCAGCAAAATGTAGAGATGTTTAGGATACAGCCTTGCTGGAGAAAGGAAATACTGTATTCTGGGTTTCCGCTTGAGATCATTCACGCAATAACTCGCTTTGTTCGGCTTGGCAAACAGGACCGACAGTTGCACCAGTCTTTTTAAAATAAACTTTATTCCAAGATAAGCAAAGACACGTTATACCAATTAAAAAATTGCACCACATGAACCTCATTTCACACTTTACGTCCAATATATAAGTCACATTAACCGATCACATGAAACCTCCAAAACATAAGGAAAAAATTGGTTAGGGTGAGAAAGAGGACGACTGATGGAAAATAATTCAATACTATTCTCAACACTTAAGGACTAGCCAGCCGGTATTACATAAGTTAACCTGTAAAAGTTGAACTCTTTCCACAAAGTGCACATTGTTACAATAACAAGACTTGCCGTTCATTTTCAGGGTTGCAGACAATCTCCATTTGCACAGAAACTGCATCAAACTCCAGTGGTAAAGATCGAAGAGGGGACAATCTTTCACTCACTTTTACTTCTTAAAATACCTTTGCCTTACAGATTTGCTTATAGGCTCTCAAATAATGCTGGTATCTCAAGCTGTCACATCAAAGCCACCCTACACTGTATCACAGCCTTAGACATGGATCAAGAGGCTCAATGGACTCCTTTAACATTGGCTTCAGGAACTTATTTGCCCAGAAATCTTGTGGACTGAAGGGACGGGTGGCATTTGGCCAACTATTATGTGCAACATGTGAGCACTCATGATTTTAACAGAAAAACTGATATTTGTCAATTTGAAGCCAGCTAGTTTTTTTCTGCATGAAGTACAATAAGAACAAATTACACTTATGTAGCGCCTTTCATGTCAGAAGAACGTCCCAAGGCGCTGGACAGTCAGTGGTCCACACCCGAGCTGGTGGTTGGGATAAGGAGGGGTGGAGGGCGGGGAGGGTAGGGGCAGCAAGGTGACCAAAGACACGGTCTTGAAGAAAAGGGAGCGAGGCGGAGGGACTGTGGGATGGAGTTCCAGAGGGTGGGGGACAAAAGGCTGAAGACCTGCCTGCCAATAGTGGGGCCGGCAGGGGGGGGGACATGAAGCAGGTCGGAGCCCGCTGAGCGGAGGGAGTGGACAGGTTGGTAGGCGGTTAGAAGGTCACAGAGGTAGGGAGCAAGGCCATGCAGGGCTTTGAAGGTGAGGGCTAGGATCTTTAACACGTCATCACTTGCCATTATTTGTCTACGTACCAATTCACAGTATCTAAACTGATTCCCTTAATTTCATTGCACAAGATACTGGAGAAGTGGAAAACTAAAAACTAAATTTATATGTAAATAAAACCAAAGATTTCTCAATTTTCCCACATCTAACAAGCACACTTAATCACTGCAGCCCTATCCCTTTGTTAGCCACTTCAAGTGCTTTCGTCTCTCCAAGGGCAGTCTAGAACACACAGGGCAGTCTACTCAAATATTTACAGCAAACCCGATATTACAGTTATATTTAAATAGTGCAGCACCTCCTGAAATAGTGCCATGAGCAGTCATGATCACAAACCTACCACGTTAGGAAAGAGTCAGTCCTGCCATCACCTCTCTTATTAAAAAAAATCATTCATTCATTCCTTTCACCGCTGCACATAGATGGTAAAGAAGGCACTGCACCGCTCTCCCCTGATTTCCGAAACCACTCATAAAGGGACTTTTAACAATAAATTACCAACAATTTGGACAGGGGTGGAAAAAGAAATAATGTCACAACTCAAATACTATGGTTCACACTGACAGTGTAAACATGGCTTCGATATTGCTCCACTCCAGCAATGCGAACACAGCAATACCAAATGTGCAAAACATTATGGGAACACCTTAATGAAGCATCTCAACATTTAGACATACTAAGTATTCTTAAAACAGAAGCTGCATTTATGTTAAAGAGGGAGCAAATAGGATTTGTCAGAGGGAGAGGTGGGTCAAATGTTTTTGTCGAGTGCAAATCAGTCTCTTTATTCTCTACTGAAACGTCAACACATCTTGAACTGAAGGTAGAGGAAAACTAGTTCAGCGCTATAACTTAGTGGGTTATGAGAGAGATAGAACTCCTCGTGAGTTTAACAAATACAGAAACCGTTACTTTCCAATAAAAATATTAAATGACCAAAGTTTAGTAAAAATCTCGAAGAAGAAGGCTTTTCATATGTGAAATTATTTTAAATGTTACTTAACCCAAAATAAAATTTGGCAAGTGAGATCTAGGAGCAGTTAGATACCAGTAAAGACAACATATTCAGTGTAGTTTTTGTACTGACGGTCCCTTCTTCAGCAAGATAAGTGCTATTACTAATTATTTGTCATTTTCGTTACAGATTCTGGCCAGTCGTAAACATCAGGCAGAAAGGACTCGTAGTCTGTCCGCCAGAGTTTTCTTCGAATGTACTCCTCCTTGTTCTTGGGCTCTGGGTATTGGAAAGCCATTTTGTTCGAATACAAGAACTCTGCCACCTGCAACAAAGCGAGACGGTGAACGCAAAAATTATCCAATAATAAGTAACATTCCTTACACTTGATATAGAGTCTATAATGTCAAAATATCTTGGGAGCACTTCACAGGGAATTTCTATCAAGTATGGGCTTCAAGACTGAGGCACTGATTGGCTCGCGCCAGCGCCTCTGCATCTCAGGCTCAGGCAACATCAACCTCCATGGTTGCACAGTACAACTCACTGCCAGTCAGGAACCTCGGTGTCTTGTTCGACCCTCAACTGTCTTTTCTTCCCCACATTCAAACTATGACCCGCTCTGCCTTCCCTCACCTCCATAACATTGCCCGACTCCGCCACTACCTCTCCCCTCAGGCCGCTGAAACTCTTGTTCATGCCTTCATCACCTCCAGGCTGCAAATGCTCTGCTTGTCGGCCTTCCCAACTCCTCCCTCCACTGCCTGCAGATAATCCAGAACTCTGCAGCCCGTGTCCTCCCGCACCAAACTCCGTGACCCCATCTCCCCCACTCCTCTGGCTCCCTATCCTTCAGAGGATCCAGTTCAAGATCCTGGTCCTCACCTACAAAGCCCTCCATGGCCTCGCCCCACTCTGCGATCGCCTAAACCCTACCAACCCACCCGTCCCTCCGCTCAGCCGGCTCTGGCCTGCTCCACGTCCCCTGACCCATCCGCCCCACCATTGACCGGAGAGCCTTCAGCCACTCTGCCCCCAGCCTCTGGAATTCCATCCCCCAGTCACTCCGCCTCGCCCCCTCCTCAACCTCCTTCAAGTCCCGCCTCAACACCCTCCTCTTCGACCATGCCATCGGCCCCCCTTCCCCTCCCCTCTCCCCCCGACCCCAGCTCGGGTCTGAAATGCTGTGCACTGTCCAGCACCTTGGGATGTCCTCCCGACGTGTAAGGTGTTATACAAATATAATCTTGTTGTTGTTGTAAGCCTTCAGCAGCCAATTTTAAGGGCAATTGTGAGAAACTCTTTTCTCAATAGTATCAAGAATCTTAACGTACACTTAATAGGCAGACGGAACCCCAGGTTTTAAAGGCTTAACGAATGTACAGTATATCGAAAAATGGAGCACATATCGGCATTACTGACCTGTTTGCTCCCTCTGCTCGCCAGGCCCTGGCCCACTCCACATCCTGTGCTCAGCCCGGCCCACCAACGGCAGTCGGGCTTTCAGCCTTTCTGCCCCCACCCTTTGGAACTCCATCTCACAGTCCCTTCGCCTTGTTTCCTCCCTGCCCCCTTTCAAGGCACGTCTCAAGTTCTTCTTGTTTGACCGCACCTAGGGTCACCCTCCGACCCTCCCTGCCCTCCACCCCTCCTGATCCCAAACCCCTGCTCGGGTCCCAATCTTTGACTGTTCAACGCCTTGGGACGTCCTCCTGATGTGAAAGGCGCTATACAAATGTAATTTGATGTTGTTTCATCAGGTCATTTCCCATAAAGAACCGAAATGAGTCCCAGAGTACATCCTTCAGGATTTTTGAATGAAGGAGAGCAGGATAACAAGGTATTGAGGTGTGGTTATCTTCAAACCTCAACAGGTCACTTAGTGCAATTGGTATCTTATGCTTAAACAATTAAAAATAAAAATGCACTCACCTTAACTGCAATGCGGATGGAGACTTCATGAATATTAGACATGTGTGGGTAAAGTCCACCTTCCTCCAGTTCCTTATCGGTCACCTGCTCAGCTAATGTCTGTGGGTGGTTAAGAAAGATTATGCAGGACTGATTTTAAAGCCTCCTGGTGCACAGTAGGAGAATGGCACCATTGAATTAAAATGATATTTTAAAGCAATTTCAACCACAAACTGCAACACCACATCAAACGACTGCAGCTTCAGTAGCCAACTCTAAGGTTAATTCTCCTTGAAAACTGCAGATTGTAGACGATATGGATATGGAGGCAAAGTGAACAAACAAAGACAAATGGAACTTATAGAAACAGAAGTAGGCCATTCTGTCCTGCAAGCCTGTTCCACTATTCTATTAGCTCGTGGCTGATCTGTACCTCAAGTAATAATTAAAAATGGGGGGGGGAATAGAAGAGATAGAAAAACTGCGCGGTCCATCCTTTTTCAAAAATAAAACAGGACCCAAACTCAGACACCTCAGGCCCTTTTTACTTTAAAAATAAACAGCTCTCTACAGGAGAGCGCTCACCTCATAATATAGCTCTCATCTCACCCAATCAATGCTCCAATGAGTACAAGGATGTTTGAACTCTGACCGGAATTTGAAGAGGACTGTCGGGATGAAAAAGGCCCTTCAGCCAATTTGATCGCCACCTCCTAGAATACTCATGCAAAACTTTATTACAGCTTCAAAACATTTCTCAAATGAGACCAGCATCCTGACCTCAACCACTCTTCCTTGTAACCCAGTCAACTGTTAATTAGCCTCCGAGTAAAGGAATCTCCAGCTAAGATTGGAACAAAAACCTTTAGAGCTACAAAGCTCCCTGTACTAACACTGGAGTTTGTGGGTAGAGGGTGTCAGTGAGAAGACTATTTTGTCTCTCAATTCAAATGCCACTTCATGAAAATCTGAACTACAAACCTTAGACGCTTCCAAGAAGACCTCATCACTGATATGACGGGCCTTACTTGAGATCACCCCCAATGCCACACCTGCAATGGGAAACGGCTACATGTAATGATGGTAAGATGACAACACTGAATAAATGTAAAAATAAAAGGAATGGGTATTTGAGAAAGAATTGCTTACAGATTATGTTCAGTTAAAAATAACGTTTCAAACAAGATATTAAACATTAAATAATTTTGCTTATTCACTCGGGGCGGGGAAATCACAAACTGAGTTTCTTCAAAGGCACTGACTTTACAGACAGGAGTAAAATTCCTAGAGTCCATCAATGGCATCAAACTACTTCAACATAAATATATCCGAAGGGCTTAGTTGATAAATACAGCAAATTGTGTTTACATAGCCCTTTCATGTCAGGAGATGTCCCAAGGCCCTGGATAATCGAGTGGGGACAGATAGGCTGAAAGCCTAATTGCCAATGGTAGAGGGGAGTAAATATGAACTCAGGCCAGTGCAAAACTAAAACATCAACAACATTAAATTTGTATAGCACCTTACATGTCAGGAGGATGTCCCAAGGTGCTGGACAGACAGTTTCGGACCCGAGCTGGGGTTCAGGATCAGGGAGGGTGGAGGGCGGGGGATGGGGTGGGGGAAGTAGGGAGATCGAAAGCACAGTCAAAGAGGAGGGTCTTGAGATGGGTCTTCAAGGAGGCAAGGGAGGGGTTTTTTCTTCAAAAAAAACCTCTTGACTCAGTGCAACAACAAGATTCCATTTATAGAGCGCCTTTCACGTCGGGAGGACGTCCCAAGGCGCTGTACAGTTGGGTCAGGACCCGAGCATTGGGGGGAAATGGTCAGGGTGAGGGAAGGGAGGGAGTGAGGAGGGGGTAGAGAGTCGAGAGGGGAGCTGAAGGCACGGTCAAAGAGAAAGGTCTTGAGACCGGCCTTGAAGGAGGAAAGGGAGGAGGCGGCGAAGGCACTAGGGATGGAGTTCCAGAGCCTCGGGGCTGAGAGGCTGAAGGCCCGGCCACCGATGGTAGGGCAGTTGGGGTAGGGGATGTGGAGCAGACCGGAGCCAGAGGAACGGAGGGTACGGGCAGCTAAGTAGGGGGATAGTAGGTCAGAGAGGTAGGAGGGAGCAAGGCCGTGAATGGACTTGTAAGTGAGGATGAGGATCTTGAATTCGATCCTCTGGGGGATGGGGAGCCAGTGGAGGCGAGCGAGGGTGGGAGTGATGTGGTCACGAAGCCTGGTGCGGGACAGTACACGACCTGCAGCTTGTGGAGGGAGGTGCCTGGAAGGCCGGCGAGGAGAGAGTTCCCATAGTGAGGGGTGAGGTAGTGCCATAGTCTGGGGATGTTTCGGAGGTGATGGAAGGCGGTGCCAATTGTGGCGCGGATATGAGGAAGAAAGGACAGCTCAGGGTCGAACAGAACACCGAGGTTCCTGACCGGCTTTGAGAGGTAGAGAGTGCAGCCTTGGATGCTGATGCTGTCAGCGGAGGCGCTGACGTGAGCCAATCAGGAGGGCCTCAGTTTTGCGCACGTTGAGCTGAAGAAAGTTGTCTCTCGTCCAGGACTCGATGTCGGACAGGCAGCTGTCAGGACATCGGTGGTCGTGGAGTTGAGGGTAGAGGAGGAAAGGTAGAGTTGGGTGTCATCCGCATACATGTGGAAGTTAACCCCAAGTCTGCAGATGATGTCACCGAGGGGGAGCATATAGAGGGTGAAGAGGAGGGAACCGAGGACAGAGCCCTGAGGGACACCGCACGAGACAGTGCGGGGGGTGGAGGAAAAGCCGTTTGTGGAGACAGTGGGAGAGGTACGACCTGAACCACTCAAGGACAGGGTCTTGAAGGTTGAGGTGGGAGGACAAGCGGTGGAGGAGGATAGCATGGTCGACCGTATCGAATGCTGCCGATAGGTCGAGGAGGACGAGGAGGCAGAGGGAGCCCTGGTCACAGATGGTCAAGATGTCATTGGTGACCTTGACCAGGGCGGTTTCTGTGCTATGGGCAGCACGGAAACCCGACTGAAAGGGTTCGAATAATGCATGGGTGGAGAGGAAAGAGCACAATGGTATGGTTGTGAGCTGGACAGATAAAAATGACCCCGGTTGCTCAGGAGCACCGCTGAATGAGTGAATGAATGAGCTGAGGAACAATGATGCAGCTAAAAGCGTAGCAACACTCAGCTGATTTTTCTAATAGACATCCAAGGCATATAGGTATCCAAGTGCTTACATTTAAGTTTCCTTTATGCACCATCACAACTATAAAATTAAAGCAGCTTTATGGTGCCATGAGAGCCTTCCGACTCAATAACAATATATCGCCCTTCACAATAGGTGGAGCCTGATGTTGAGCCGGGTGTGGGGGTGGGGGTGGGGGGGGGCAGGGAGACGGGGACCTTAAGCAGTCTTCAGTTGTAATCTAAAAGAGGGGAAGGAGGGGGCAAGGCCGAGGGATTGAGTAGCGGAGTTCCAAAGCTTCGGGGAATAGTGACTGAAAGTGCCTTCGCCAATGGTGAGGGACAAGCAGGAGGCCAAAGTCAGCTGAGCGAAGGCAACAGGTAGTGGAGTGGGAGAAAGGAGGTCAGAGCCAATTTTTCATTTAAGCATTGAGTATATTAATTACCTAAATAACAGGTAATTATAATAGTTAAATTAAATGAAACAAATTAGCTCTGCACAAGCATGGAGGATGGGTAGAGGGTCGGGTCGGATTTTATACTGAAATAATTTCTCTTCAGTTAACAAAAATCAGGTACCTTACCAGAAAACAACTTGACTTAAATCTAGAATTGGGATATGTGGACGGACAGTCATTATCACAGGAATGTAACCATTAGGCTTGTGTTTTATTAATGAAAATCTGCAATCATATGGGCAGTGCAGAAAAATAAATATGCAAAAGCTGCAGTATCATCCCCAGCACTAACCAGGAAAGATGTAAGCATTATTTCCTTGTCCCGATTTGAATGTGCGTCCATCTGGCAGGGTCACTGGGTCAAATGGGCTGCCGCTAGCAAAAAGGCACTTCCCCTGTGAACGCAAATGTAAAATTTGCATTTTTACAGCTCCTAGAATATCAAAACATCTCAAAACTACTTTACAGTAACTACTATCACTGTTGTGACTGTTTTTGTCAGTAAACACAGCAGTCATTTTGCACCCAATAAAACCCACAAACAGCCATGAGGTGAATGACTGTAATCTGCAAACTGTTGCTGTAGTCAGCCTGACACAGCAATGCTGAAGAGGCACTGAGCATCTGAAATAAGCAATTTTAATTTCAAATATTCCCATTCCCCAATATTTTTTTTGGTCATGTGGAAACCCATCACCGTGCTTACGAGTTTACACTCTCAATCCCTCCGCCTTGCCCCCCCTTCTCTCTCCTCTTTCAAGTCCCGCCTGAACACTTTCCTGTTCGACCATGCTTATGGTCATCTCCCCCCGGCTCAGAGTCAGACTCCGGGGGGAGAGTTAAGCACTCTGAGACGCTACCCTGCGTGGAGGGCGCAAGTTGTTCTTATTGTTGTTGAGATCCAAACTAAGAATTCCGTGCATCCCTCCTATACACGGAAATCCCAGAGATAGATTGTTGGACTGGAATGCGCTCTCTCTTTCCCTGGAGGGAAGTATCTTCTTACCTAATTCTGGAAAGTGTTAGGCACAGGTTAGCAAGAGCCAAGGCTTGGGGACCTCCAGGGTGTGTAAAATCACACAGCTTTCCATTGAGAGCAATGTCTGTCAAGCTTTCCTGTCCAGCTAGGATCATCGTACCCAATATGGCTTTGGTTTGCAGGGTTAAAAGGAACTGAGTGGGATGATTCCTTGCCCCCAGTGACTGATCTGAAACTCCTGGGTTGCAAACCAAAATTCCTTTTTTATTTAATTGCAGCTCCATAACTGACCAGACGGTGTCACAAGAGGACAGACATTTTGAGATCTTTCTTTTAACCGCAACAACAAAATCGCATTTGTTTAGCGCAACTGGCTGCCAAGTTTCACCCACAAACCAGTCAATCCACTTCACAATGTATTCTGCAAAGCGCTTTAAGACGTCTCAATGATGTGATAAAGCACTATATCAAACCAAAGATTATTATTTGCCCCATCCTACTTCATTTGGCATTCCATACCTCTGTAATCGTGTATGCGTCCTCTGCACTGCATTCAGCCTTTGTAGTTGGATTACTCAGTGCAAAAATGATGGGACGCTCATTGATGGTCCCCATGGCACTAATCACTTCCCTGGTGAACAGTCTGCCAGCACCTGCCACTCCTACAAAACAGATTACACAGAATAAACCTTAAGCGATCAGGGCACGTGGCGTTGAACAAATACATTGCAAGCAAAATGACCCGGGTTTGATTCCCAGGTGGGCGAAACCTTAGTCAAGTTTCCTTTCGCAAAACATACAGAAAATACAGTCACTCCACTTTACAGTATATTCTGAGTGCTTTGAGACATTCTCAAAGACGTGATAAGGCGCTATATGCAAGGATTGGTATCATTATTATTTGAGAAAGCAGTTGGCTCCAAATCAACAACAACAACAAGATTCCATTTATAGAGCGCCTTTCACGTCGGGAGGTCGTCCTAAGGCGCTGGACAGTTGGGTCAGGAGCTGAGCAGGAGGGAAATGGTCAGGGTGAGGGGAGGGAAGAGAGGGAGCGAGGAGGGGGTAAATGGTCAGGGTGATGGGAGGGAAGGGAGAAGAGGGGGTAGAGGAGGGGAGCTGAAGGCACAGTCAAAGAGAAAGGTCTTGAGACCGGCCTTGAAGGAGGAAAGGGAGGAGGCGGCAAAGGCACTGGGGGATGGAGTTCCAGAGCCTCGGGGCTGAGAGGCTGAAGGCCCGGCCACCGATGGTAGGGCGGTTGGGGCGGGGGATGTGGAGCAGACCAGAGCCAGAGGAACGGAGGGTACGGGCAGGTAGGTAGGGGGATAGTAGGTCGGAGAGGTAGGAGGGAGCGAGGCCGTGAATGGCCTTGTAGGTGAGGATGAGGATCTTGAATTTGATCCTCTGGGGGATGGGGAACCAGTGGAGGCGAGCGAGGGTGGGAGTGATGTGGTCGCGAAGCCTGGTGCGGGACAGTACACGAGCTGCAGAGTTCTGAATGACCTGCAGTGTGGAGGGAGGGCCGGGAAGGCCGGCGAGGAGAGAGTTCCCATAGTCCAGCCTTGAGGTGATAAAGGCGTGGACCAGAGTTTCAGCCGCGTGAGGGGTGAGGTAGTGCCGTAGTCTAGCGATGTTCCAAATCAGTTTGTGAAAGCCATTGAGCCGGCGCTCAGCTCCTTTTGAACCTACTACCTTGTTTTTAAAGAAAATATCAGAATTTTAAGATTCCAATAAAAGACCAGTTGCAGGGTTGCAGACATGCAGACATAGCAGCTAAGTTGAAGCCTCACCACTTACCGATAATCGCTGTAGGCCGGATTATATTAACTGCATCTAAAAACGTCTTCGCTTGGCGGTTAGGACTTGGTTGGGCAAAGGATTCCTGGTCACTTTGAATCCCCTCTGAACGCCCCTAATAGACAGACACAAACATGCTTCGAACTTTTAAAGAGAGTTATTCACATACAGTCAGTATAAAACTAGAGGGATAGAGCACATGTCAAGGGAAGCAATACATATTGTACAAAGAACTGGTTTGGCTCCACTGAATACATGTACAATTCTGTACATGAAGCATACAGAATTGAAGCATTGAACCAACATAGGATGTTTATATGACTAAAGGACAGAGTGAGGGAGGAACCAATCAATAAAGCAGGAATTTGCAGGTACGCAAGTTACAAGGAGAGGCTATGGAAGATGCGAATGCTCACTTTGATGAGCATTATTCACAATCAACCTTGAAACTAAGATGGATTTGCCTGTGCTGACTAGAACTCAAAATATCCAATGGATCCACAATTCATCTCCAAGGGAACAGAAGATACGAGAGGGGAGAGGGGGTAGGAGGGAGGGTAGAGAACGTGGAGTATAAACATGGTCACGTTATTGGGCTGGATGCAATCTGAAGGAAAATCTAGACTCCTTTAAACCAAAATATTTTAATAAATCCATCCAGTCTCCTCACTCACCAGGACAAGCAAGCCATCCTTGTCAAACATCCAGATTTTCCGCTGTGCTTCCTCCTGAGGCACTCCAGTCTCCTTCATTGCCATTACAATCAGATTAGCTATGCCCAGTGCTGCCTGAGTGAAGTAACAAAGGAGAAACAGGCACTTAACTCACAGGCTTAACAATACACAATGTCCATCACTTACTGTAATATTACAGAGGCCATTACTGATAAAATAGGCACTGGATCAGAAACTGCATCATCATGACTCCTGTAATATACTGTATTTAAAAAAAATCCTGACCTCCTACGTCACCTCTAGGTATCAGAAATTATTTGCAAAGATTATTATTTGGCAGAGGTGACTACTTCGCAATCTCTTTAGAAACCAAATCAGTAACCCTTCATACAGGCCACAACTGCCTTCTTGGTAACAGTGCCTTATCACGTCATTGAGATGTCTCAAAGCGCTTCACAGAATATATTGTAAATAATAATAATAATAATCCTTGCATTTGATATAGCGCTTTTCACATCGGGAGGACGTCCCAAAGCGCTTCACAGAACACACTGTAAAGTCAATTGACTGTATATTTTGGGGCCGAAACGCAGCAGCCAATTGAACACAGCAGTGTCCCACAAACAGTCGTAAATATTATTATTTTATTTCTTTTTTTGAAGGGATTATTACGCCATTTAAGTGATATGCCAGCCAAATAATCGTAAACAGAGACATGTGATATAAAGAAACTTGCCTAAGGTTTTGCCCTACCCGGAAATCAAACCCAGGTCCTCTTGCTCATGAGTCGAATGCTCTAACCAATTCGCTACAAGACTCCACCAAATTTCCTCCCATCCCCATAAATTTGTAGAGATTACAAATGAGAGATTACCTGCCCTGCCATCTTCAAAGAGGGGAGGTAAGGATTTTTATATTGCTTCTCCTTATTCTTCCTCCCAAAATACATCACTTTGCATAAACTTAATCTGCCACGTGTCTGCCCATTTTACCAGTCTGTCTATATCCATTTGCAGTCTGCTACTATCCTCCTCACAGTTTACTACTTTTCCCAGCTTAGTATCATATGCAAACTTGGAAATTGCACTCCTTATCCCAGGTCCAGGTCATTTATATAGATCAAAGACAGCAATGGTCCCCCTGGGGGACACCACTGAACACTTCCCTCCAGTCAGAAAAACAACCATTCACCACCACTCTCTGGTTTCTGTCTCCCAGCCACCTTTAAGTCCCATCTCAAGACCCTCCTCTTCGATCGTGCTTTCAATCTCCCTGCTTCCCCCACCCTCCCCCCTCCCCAATCCCCAGCTCGGGTCCATAACTCTGTCTGTCCAGCGCCTTGGGACATCTTCCCGACGTGAAAGATGCTATACAAATGTAATTTTGTTGTTGTTGTTTATCCCTTCTGTCCCTGTTTGTATAGGGAAGTAACATTTGCAATCCTCTAGTCCTCTGGCATCACCCCGGTGTACAAGGAGGATTGAAAGATTGTGGCCATAGCCTCCGTTCTTTCCACCCTTACTTCCCTCAGTAACCTAGGATGCATCCCGTCCGGACTGGGTGAGTTATCTACCTTGAGCACCGACAACCTTTTTAGTACCTCCTCTCGGTTTATTCTTATCTTATCCAATTTCTGTGATACTGTGGCATTGTCTGCATCCTCTTCCTTTTGTGAAGACAGATGCAGAGTACTCATTCAGTACGTCAGCCATGCCCTCTGCCTCCACAAGAAGATTTCCTCTTTGGTCCCAAGTTGGACCCACTCTACCTTTAACTATCCTTTTATATGCTTATAAAATACCTTAGGGTTCACTTTTATGTTACCCGCTAATCCTTTCTCATAAAATCTCTTTGCCCCTCTTATTTCCTTTTCCAGTTCTCCTCTACTTTCTATATACTATTTCCTATAGCTCAGTGGTTAGAGCTAGCGAGAAACCTGAGTTCAATTCCAGGCAGGGCGAAACCTTGGGCAAGTTTCCTTACTCTACACGCCTGATAATAATCCCTCCGAAACAAAACAATAATAAATTGGTCATTTTCAATCCACGACTGTTTGTGGGACACTGCTCAGCCAATTGGCTGCTGCGTTTCACCCACAAATATACAGTCAATTCACTTTACAGTATATTCTGTGAAGCGCTTTGAGATGTCTAGAAGACGTGAAAAGCCCTATATCAAAATGCAAGGATTATTATCTTCTGTATTTTGGACCTGACATTTATCATAAGCCTCCCTTTTCTGTTTGATTTTAAATCCAATTTCCTTATTCATCCAGGGATGTTTGGATGCCCTACCTTTCCCTTTTGTGGGAATGTATTTGTTCTGTCTTCAAACTGTCTCCAGATATCCAGATGCTCTCCTATTGAAACCTACTCCACTTACCCCACTTCATTCCCCAGAACTAGATCCAGCACTGCTTCCTTCCTCATTCGACTGGAAATATACTGCTCCAGAAAGTTCTCCTGCATGCATCTCAGGAATCCTTCCCCCTCCTTGCCCTTTATACTGTTATTTTGCCAGTCTATTTTAGGATCATTGAAGTCCCCGCATTATCACCACTCTATTGGTTTTGAATCTTTCTGAAATCTGCTTGCAGATTTGCTCGTCTATCTCCTTCCCACTATTTGGTGGTTTATAGTATACATCTAACAGAGTAACAGCTCCTTTTATGCTCCTTAACTCTAACCAAATAGATTCTGTTTTTGTACCTTCTATCATCCCTTTCCAGAGCTATAACTGTGTCTTTAATCAATATTGCCATCGCCACCCCCACCTCCTTTTTTCCTTCCTTATCCCTCCTGAATACATTGTAGCCAGGAATATTCAGCTCCCATTCCTGCCCTTGTTTGAGCCATGTCTCCATTAATGCCACTACATCATAACAACACAACAACAAAATTACATTTATAGAGTGCCTTTCATGTCGGGAGGACGTCCCAAGGCGCTGGACAGTCAGGGATCAGGACCCGAACGTGGGGGAGGTATTAGGGAAATCAAGAGAGGTGGGAGAGTGACTGAAGTTACAATCGAAGAGGAGGGTCTTGAGACTGGCCTTGAAGGAGGCAAGGGAGGAAGCGAGGCGAAGGGACCATGGGATGGAGTTCCAGAGTGTGGGGGCAGAGAGGCTGAAAGCCCGGACACCGATGGTAAGGTGGGTCAGGCGCGAGACATGGAGCCCGCTGAATGGAAGGAGAGGGCAGGGTGGTAGGGAGTCAGCAGATCAGAGAGGTAGGAGGGGGCAAGGCCATGGATGGCCTTGAAAGTGAGGACGATGATCTTGAACTCGATCTTGAGGGATGGGGAGCCAGTGGAGTCGGGCGAGGGTGGGAGTGATGGGGTCGCGGAGCCTGGTGCGCGAGAGTACACGAGCTGCAGAGTTTTGAGTGGATGATCTACAGCTTGTGAAGGGAAGAGTTGGGAAGGCCGATGAGGAGGGAGTTTCCATAATCGAGCCTTGAGGTGATGAATGTGTGGGTGAGGGTTTCGGCAGCCTGAAGGTGAGGCAGTGGTGGAGTCTGGCAATGTTGCGGAGGTGGTGTTAGGCAGTGCCGGTCATGGCGTGGATGTGGGGGAAGAAAGGACAGTTCAGGGTCAAACAAGACACCCAAGTTCCTGACTGGCTTAGTGAGGTAACCCCATGTGGCAACTTGAGCCTGCAGCTCACCAATCGTATTTGTCACACGCCGTGCATTCACGCACATGCACTCCAAGACCGACTTAGTCTGTTCTGCATTCTCCCCCGTCTAATTCATCCTTTTTCTGGATTACACCTTATTACATTGCTATTTGTCTCTCCCAGCCCTCTATGCAACTTGTTTGTAATTGCTAAGACATCAATATTGTTAAGGGTCTTACGTATGCAGAATGATATTTGCCGTAAACGGTGTCTGAATGTCATTTAAAACCGCCAGCTTTAAGGTAATAAAGATTCAATTAACTCACCTCTCCAGCCCCAAGAAACAGAAAACAGTGCTCACTGATTGGTTTGTTAATCACCCTCCGTGCTGACAACAACCCCGCCAACGCCACTGCTGCAGTCCCTGTACAGATACAAACACAAAACAAAGGCTACAGAAGCAAATCGAAGAATCTGAATTAATACACAGCATTTATTAAGAAAGGACATTGTGAACTACAGTGCTGGGGGACACTGCATTGTCAGAGATGCCACATGATGAGATTCCTGCCTGTTCAGGTGGTCAGTAAAAATCCAGCAAAACTACTCGAAAAGAGAATGGCTAGACCAACAATTCACTAGATGCAATTGTCTGAAATGTTTCAATGATGTTATAAAGTACTATAGCAAATGCAAGGAGTATTATTATATAAATTTGTCACTCACTCCTTGGCTGTTTGTCGGACATTGCTGTACACAAATCTGTTTGCCACGTTCACCTACAAATTCACTTGCCAGGAAATACCTTTTGAGACTGAGGCTTTGAGATGTTTTGACATTAGACATAATATCAGATACAAGGATTATGAAAATATTCTTGTGTTCTTGTACAATTTAGGGAATACACTTACAATTTAGGAACCACACTTACACATATTTCATCAGATTTGATGTATGAATCATTTAACTGTTATGAAACGATGCAAATTTACCACCTTAATTTTTACCCACTTGAAGACAGGCTAAATTACATTTGGATTACATTTGGATTAGGATTGCTTGCTGTTAAAATTCAGGCAATATCCTGAAACATAATCCCTTACAAGGTTATAAATAGATCACCATTTCCGTTGGATTAAGTTACTTAAGAAGAGCATCAACCCAGTGAAGAACCGAGTGGCTTTAAAGCTTAAAGTGAATGAATTTCAATAGCTTCGCTATATTGTCTCAACAAAGCCAAATGTCTGTACTGAACAATACATCAATGAAATCAAAGGACAACTGTGGTTAAATGGAGCCATTGAATTCAGTTACATTAGAAGAATAAGTTTGTGTTGTACTTTTTTGCAAGAGAATGAATCCATTTTTGAGTTAGTGGCATGATCAAGTCATGAAAGCGTAACAAAAATGTCTTTTGTGTCTCAGACATAAAACACAGCTGAGGACAAGTAGCATGAATTTCAAGAGTTCTTCAATTCCAAAATCAAGATGACCTCAGAGAGACCAGATTACAATAACTTCATCTGTTGAACTTCAGGGAGACAGTAGGCATTTCATTCCAGACACAGGAATTCACATGTGTATGTGGCATGCATTGAACTTGGTCTGGTTTGGATACTCTAAAGCATAGTAATGGGTTTCTGTACTCCCGCCCCCCCCAAAAAAAGAGTTCCTGATGAAATTTCTTTTTTAGGTAGCTGTGTAGTCAGTTTGGATCTTATGATGTCCACCTATCCATGGGGTTTGTGAATCTGTTACGGTTCCATGCCAATTAGTGTGGAAAATCGACTATCTTCTCTAGTTGTGGGATCTTTAAAGTCCACTTGAATAGGAAGATGAGATCTTGGGTTCACCTCTCATTTGGAGGACAGCACCTCTGACAATTCAGTGCTTTCCTCAATACACTGTTATAAACCCAGTTATAACTGGGGGAATGTGGAACTAGCTACCTATCACAAGGAGTAGTTGAGGCGAATAGCTTAGATGCATTTAAGGGGAACCTAGGTAAGTACATGAGGGAGAAAGGAATAGAAGGTTATGCTGATAGGTTTTTAGTTGAGGAAGGGCAAGAGGAGTCTCACGTTGAGAATAAACCCTGGCATAGACCAGTTGGGCCAAATGACCTGTTTCTGTGCTGTATATTCTATGTAATCCTATGTAAATGTCCTTCATTACTAACAAAAATTTGGATTTATATAGCAGCCTTCATGCAGTGTTTTTTTACAACACTGCTTCGCTTATAATAAGGCATTCATGGGCCAGACGTTTACGCTTGACTCTCCCCACTCTTCTCCCCCCTTAAACAATACATCCCTCGAGCAGGTGATATGTATTCTGTGTGATACCACAAACCCAGAAGTGCTGGCTGTTGATAGTTAATCTGTAAAAACATACCTTGAATATCATCATTAAATGTACAATACTTCTCTCTATATTTCTTTAGAAATGTGAAGGCATTGTGGTTTCCGAAATCTTCAAACTGAATGAGTGTGCCTTGACCGTACCTGTACAAAAATATTGTTGGAGCATAATTAAAAAGCAAATTCTACTGCAGTTCCATAAACAATAAAGTCATTACACAAATTTAATTCATAAAGCGGCTCATAGTATTTTCTAGTTCAACTAAATAGAGAATCAAATATTTACAGCTCAGGTCATTTGAGTCCTGATTCCTGTAGTGTCTCCTCACAAGCGAGAGGACCCAGGTTTGATTTCCAGACAGGGCGAAACCTTTGGCAAGGTTTGCTTATTCAAATGTCTCTGTTTACCTATCAGCACTTAGGAACCCAGCTGTTAGTCGATTTGAGGATTGCTTTTAATATTGCGTATAATAATCCCTTAAAAAAAATAAAAATGATAATAAAAACAATTGGTCACTCAATCCATGACTGTTTATGGGACACTGCTGTGCACAATCACTGCAGCATTTAGCCCACACATATATAGTCAATTCACTTTACAGTATACTCTGTGAAGCGCTTTGAGAAGTCTCAATGACGCGATAAGCTCTATATCAGATTGATGATTATTATTATCTGGCCCAGGTGCTCCAAGTAAGCAATTCATCTCATGGCTAAGACCACATAGTAAGACCTAACTGGCTGCCAAGTTTCAATGAAACAGCCACTTCAAATACTAGAAGGAACCTTGAGATTCTGTGATATAAAAGACGCTTCAAAGATATAGTTCTTCTTCTACTTACTTATCTGTAATCGCTTCCATAAACTCGTCAATGAGATCGTAATAGCGTTGTGAACGGTCTCTCTTCTGATAAAGACCCAGGTAGAAGGGATCTTTCAGTAGATCCTGCAAGAGAAAAGCAAAATTTAAAAAGGATGTTAAATCAATTCAAAAGATACATTAAGCATATTAAAGCAAGATCTTCATCGTGCTTCATCTGTCCTATAAATCATACAAAATAAATTATGTAGAAAGTGTTATAAATGACAATTTCAGGCTGGAATACTCCAGCATCTGTTGGCCGATGAAGAATAAACTCCTCATCTTTGGATAAACTGTGATTAAAAGAAGCAATAGAGCAGCCTACATGAATGAGATTCCTCGCTTCAGACCCAAATATTAGGCAAGTTTCTTTTTATATTTCTGTCTGCAATTTATCCTTTGTACCCCGTCATAGCTCTTTGTCATCCAACTACTAAATGAGTGGGGGGAAAGGAAAGTGAAGACTTATCAAGTCAAAAATGGCAATCTGTTTAGAATTCATTATACAAAGAAGAGCGTAGCCAGTTGAATTTTACCCCATAGTTCCACAGTGATCTACATCAACAGCAATTAAGGATCAAATTCCAATAAGACCTCTTAGAATAATGGTGGTGTGGTGGGGGAGGGAGAGGAAAAAAATTCAGGAGAATTTTGCCAGAATTGACAAAATAAACTTTAAAACAAAAAGACTTCATGTCATGAGGAACATCTATTCATAACATCAACACATTTATATAGCGCCCCTCACGCAGGGTAGCGTCCCAGAGCACTTGATTTGTTCATACATTGAACACCTGGGTACAAAATGCTGTTAGGATTAACTGAATCCCTTCATCAGCTGGGCAGGTGCAATGAAAGACGAGGCCATGAAGAAAAAAACAAGGAAGCAGGTAGAAGGCTTTTGGTTGAACTATGGTTTTAATTGGCACTCACAAGTGCTAGAAAAATAGTAACAACTCAGAACAGCTCCATACACATCCTGATGAAAAAAAACGGATTCTTTGACTGAACTGAAGCAATTTGAAGTTTTAAAGTGGGGAAGTTTCAGGCTTCATTTAAGATTGAAGACCAGCAGAAAAAGCAGAGAATTAAAAAAATACAACTGAGCACTTTACGAAAAGTCTCACCTTCTGAAAAATGGGGGGAAAAAAATCAATCAAGTGGCATAAAAGCAGGGGAGTGGGACTAGTTGGACAGCTCTTTCAAAGAGCTGGCACAGACACAATGGGCCAAATGGCCTCCTTTTGTGCTGTAAAATTGCATGATTTTAAGTATGATCCAAACAGTAGTACAATTTTCAGAGATAAGTTAGACAAGCACCAAAACCCAATTCTGTATCATGGACTGACTTACTTTATTGTCGGTACCAACATCGATGCAGACAGGAAGGCACATCTGAGGTTTGATTCCAGCACATGCTGTATACAAGCACAACTTTCCAACTGGTATTCCCATTCCATAAACCCCCAAATCTCCAAGGCCCAATATGCGTTCTCCATCAGTTACCACCACAGCCTGGGACAACAAATTGCAGACATTAATACCACTACACTCTACAGAGGAACACAACATAAGAATTTGCTGGGCGAAAGAAGACCAAGGTTCATCCTGTTCGCCTAATAGCAATCTGGCAGTCGCATGACATGTCGTGTCCCAAACTATAGATTATATCCCAAGATATTATTCCCTAACAGAAATCTAATTTGTTCAATGAATCAGCACTTCCTGCTTTCACCAACTCCCTAGGGAGCCAGCTCCACACATTTACTACTGGCTCACTGAAGTAAAATTTGTGCAGATTGGTTCTGAATTCACTATCTATAATCTAACAAGCAACAGATCTATATTTTCCAATCATGTAATAAGCACTTTGAAAGAAAATTACAGCACAAGTGCCCAATTACATTGAACCTACACCTTTCATGTACAATGTTTCAAAACACTTGAGAAAATAAGATTGCAGGCAATCTGTGCCGTAAAGAACGAAATGAGCAGCCAATTTCAATCTGGCAGTAAATCTGGATGAGTAAGGAATATGAGCCAAGATAACAAGAGAAAAACTCCACATTCCTTTGAAACAAACGTGTGAGCAGGCGGCAAAAAGCAGTGCCTTGCACACAATCTAATAATATCAAAAAGGAGATACAGAAATACAATTTTATTTAATATAGAATTCTATACATTGCATAAAATAGTATATTAGTTGACAGCCACATTTTATATATCTAGAACAGGTATGAGAGAAAAGTTATCTAATTGCCCATTGTGCTAGTCCTATGGATTTCAGGACTAATGCTGCTCTGGCCAATTAATTGCCTGTCAGACATCAAGTCCTGGATAAGCTCCAACTTCCTTCAGCTGAATGTCGACAAGACAAAGTCTCTACTGCTTGGTTCCCATCAGCACCTTCTCACCTCAGACATTCACAGTACCACAAGAGATCAACAGCAAATCACTCACTCAGTTCTCTTTCCAACATTATATAAGTTTATAGACGCCAATACAACAACAACAAAATTACATTTGTATAGTGCCTTTCACATCGGGAGGACGTCCTAAGGCACTGGACAGATTGGAGCATTTCAGACCCGAGCTGGGGTTGGGGGGGTAAGGGAAGGGAGGGGAGAGGAAGGGAGTGCCCGATGGCATAGTCAAAGAGGAGTGTCTTGAGGCGGAACTTGAAGGAGGCTAAGGAGGGGGCGAGGCGGAGTAACTGGGGGATGGAATTCCAGAGATTGAAAGCAGAGCGGCTGAAGGCTCTCCCGCCAATGGTGGGTTGGGGGACGTGGAGCAGGCCAGAGCCGGCTGAGCGGAGGGAACGGGCGGGTTGATAGGGGGTTAGAGGTCACAGAGGTAGGGTGGGGCGAGACCATGGAGGGCTTTGAATGTGAGGACCATGATCTTGAACTGGATCCTCTGAAGGATAGGGAGCCAGTGGAGTCGGGCGAGTGGGGGAGATGGGGTCACGGAGTTTGGTGCGGGAGAGGGCTGCAGAGTTGTGGATTATCTACAGCCTGTGGAGGGAGGGGTTGGGAAGGCCGACACGCAGGGCGTTTGCATAGTCGAGCCTGGAGGTGATGAAGGCATGAACAAAAGTTTCAGTGGCCTGAGGGGTGAGGTAGTGGCAGAGTCGGGCGATGTTACGGAGGTGAGGGAAGGCAGAGTGGGTCATGGCTTGGATGTGGGGGAGAAAAGACAAAGGTTGATACTGCCAGAGCCTGAGCTGCAGAGGCGCTGGCACGAGCCAATCAGGAGGTCCTCAGTCTTGTTCACATTCAACTGTAGGAAATCTGCCCTCATCCAGGACTTGATGTTCGACAGACAGTCTGTCAGGACAGCAGTGATCCTGGAGTTCAGGGTAGAGACAGAAAGATAAGAGTTGGGTGGAAGTTGACCCCATGTCTGCGGATGATGTCACCAAGGAGGGAGCATGTAGGTATTAAACAGGAGAGGGCCAAGGACAGAGCCCTGGGGGACGCGAGACGTGACAGTGCGGGGCCTGGAGGAGAAAGCATTAAAGGCAACGAAGTGGAGACGGTGAGAGAGATAGGAACCGAACCAGGCAAGGGCAGATCCATGTAGATTGAGTGAAGCGGAGTGGCGATGTTTGAGGATGGAGTGATCGAGAGTGTCGAAGTCGGCAGAGAGGTCAAGGAGGACAAGGAGGCAGAGGATGCCCTGATCATGGATGTTCAGAATATCATTAGTGACTTTGACCAGAGCTGTTTCCGTGCTATGGGCAGCGCGGAAGCTGGATTGGAGGGGTTCAAAGAGGGAATGGCGAGAGAGAAAGGAGCGGAGTTGGGATGCAACGACTCGTTCCAGGACTTTGGAGAGGAATGGGAGGTTAGAGATAGGGCGGTAGCTGGAGAGAAGGGATGGATCCAGGGAAGGTTTTTTCAGGATGGGGTTGATCAAGGCTGTTTTTAGGGGAGTGGGAAATGAACCGGTGGACAGGGCATCGGACAGGAGAGGGGCCAGAAGGTGGAGCTGGGAGATGAGGAGAGAGGTGGGGATGGGATTGAGGGAGCAGTGGGTTTGAGTTTGTGGACAGTCGTGACGAGGGAGGAGGGAGAGATAGGGTCGAAGGAGTATGGGGTGGGGTGGGTGGGGGAGTGGTTCATGAGGGAGAGGTGATGTGGGGGTGGCTGTGGACGGGGTTGAGGTAGCTGAATGTATCCCCTCGATTTTAGATTCCAGGAAATCCAGCATCTCCTCACAGTTGGCGTTTGAGGAGAGGATGGGCGAGGTATGGGAAGGTGGACAGAGGAGACGGTTTGTGGTGGAAAATAGAAGCCGGGGGTTGTCCTTTGCCTCCAAGATAACCGTGGAGTAGAAGCGAGAATTTGGCGGAGGCAATATACATCATGTCACCCAGTTACACAAGTTATGGCAACTCACTTGCCAAATAGTCCTTTCAGCCAAAATCCTGAGGCGGTTTTGCATACGTGTGCACAGATTGAAAAGAGATAAAAAGGTGGAAAATCCCTGGATTCAAGCCACAGACACCTGCACAAGTTTTGGGCAAACATCTAATTCTTGAACTGGGTCACTTGCCAGTGCTTGTTCCTTACTCTTCAGATTATATGTAACTACATGTACAGTTAACATTATGCACACTGGAGGGTTGCCAACAAGGGTGTTTAATCACACATTTATTTTTTACCTGCACATCTGGTTCTGGCCAGTTCTCTACGATCGACCTAACGTGACCTTGGTCCAGGATAGAAATAAACAAACCTCTGTTCCAAACAAAAAAAAGTTAACATCTCGTACTCAGGGATAAATAGACAAAACTGAAAAAGTGCATAAGGCACCAATTATTAAGTTTAATTATTGGAGAGAAGTCAAATATTATATCACTAAAATGAACTATTCAGCACAATATATTTGCTAGCCATCTGAAAGAGCCATTGTTTAGTCCCATTGCTTCTTTATTTTACACTTCAAGTATACTGGAGCCATTGGAACGTACTGTTCTGAATTAAATTTCTCTATTCTGTTCAGCATACCTCTACAATTAAAAGGTGGCCTCTCCAGAATCATTGCATTTGAGAGGCTTAATTAAGTACCTTGTTACTCCGCTCAGCAGACTCCGGCCTGCTCCATGTCCCCTGCCCAGCCCATCCCACCATCGGCAGTCGGACCTTCAGTCTCTTTGCCCCACCCATTGGAACTTGACCCCACAGTCCCTTAGCTTCGCTCCCTCGTTTACCTCCTTCAAGGCATGACTCAAGACCCTCCTCTTCGGTCACCCTCCAACAACAAGAAGATTACATTTATATAGCGCCTTTCACGTCGGGAGAACGTCCCAAGGCGCTGGATATTGTACAACATTTTGGACCCGAGCTGGGGTCAGGGTTGCGAAGGGAAGGGAGGGGAAAGGGGTTGACCGATGGCATGGTCGAAGATGAGGGTTTTGAAGCGGAACTTGAAGGAGGCTAAGGAGGGGGCGAGGTGGAGTGATTGGGAATGGAATTCCAGAGATTGGGGCCAGAGTGGCTGAAGGCTCTCTTGACAATGGTGGGGTGGGTGGAGGGGGGGATGTGGAGCAGGCCGGAGCCGGCTGAGCGAAGGGAGCGGGCGGGTTGGTAGGGTTTAGGAGATCGCAGAGTGGGGCGAGGCCATGGAGGGCTTTGTAGGTGAGGACCAGGATCTTGAACTGGATCCTCTGAAGGATAGGGAGCCAATGGAGTCGGGCGAGAATGGGGGAAATGGGGTCACGTTTGGTGCAGGAGAGGACACGGGTTGCAGAATTCTGGATTATCTGCAGCCTGTGGAGGGAGGAGTTGGGAAGGCCGATAAGCAGAGCGTTTGCATAGTCGAGCCTGGAGGTGATGAAGGCATGAACAAGAGTTTCAGCGGCCTGAGGGGTGAGGTAGTGGCGGAGTCGCGTGATGTTATGAAGGTGAGGGAAGGCAGAGCGGGTCATGGTTTGGATGTCCTCCTACCTCTATCCTTCCTGCCATCTGCCCCCCCAGATCCCATCCCTGACCGCCCAGTGCCTTGAGACATCCTGCTACCATGAAAGGTGTTATACAAATGTAATTTGCTGTTGCTGTTGTTATCTAGCTTTTATAGGCCAATTCTATCTCTGGATGGTAATCAGTCATGTTATTTGCACTAGAAAACTTAAAAGCACTACTTATGGAAATGTGATTAGCAATGCAGCCCAGAATTTAACACGGCGAGTGACAAGTTAATTAAAACTACTCTGCTCCTGTCTATAAAGTAACTGTCACTGAGCAAACAATACATGTTGTTGATTTATCCTAACAAGAACACCAGTATCAGATGGATAAGCTATGAGAAACAACTGGATAAACTAGTTCGGCTTTGAAACAACAATACTTAGAAAAACTGATGGCTGATGCATAAAGAAAATAAACCCAAGATACACTATAGCAGAAGGATAAAAGGGGTCACGTTTGGCATTGTGAAGGGCAATTTAAGACAGAGGCTTAAAGATGTTTATTTACACAAAGTTCTGGCTAACAGAAACAGTGATTGATTACAGGGCACTGTACCCTATGAAGCACTTTAAAATTGTGAGATAATTCAGCAGAATATACAGGAGGGTGGGGGTGGAATAGAGAAAGCAAGAATTGCCCTTCACAACGTCTTTTGTCCTTCTGCTTTTTGTCCTTTTGAGCCGCCCTCCATAGGTCAAAAACCTAAGAGGTCCATAAAACACAATGGCTGAAAGTTTAAGGCTTACTTTGGTCTCCTAAATATTTGTCCATACTGTGAGCAGGCCAAACCTACTGTAGGAGTGTAAACAATTGGCATCAGCCTTTCAATGTCATCACGTAGAACTCTATAGAACAGCTTTTCGTTTCGTTCCTGGATTCCCATCACATAAATATACCTGTAACAAAACAGCAAAATGTGCAACACATTGACACAAAACCACGTTGCAAAGTTTTTAAACAATGATGACACCAACATCTCCAAGCTTTGAGTTTGCGCTATATATTGGAATCCTTTTATCTGACACAGCACCTAGAACATAACATTTCACAATAGTTGCCATCCAGTGTAGTGACTATTTGTAGGCAAAAGTGGTGGAAAATTTATAGAGAAGCAAAAAGTGAATGGGCAATTTATCTGGAGGATTTCTAGCGAGAATACCGGGAGAAAGTTTATTGTTTATTCTCATTTCAAACAGTGCACAGGATCTTAGATATCCAAAGTAAATGATCTTACTTTACTAGATCATTGGCCATATCACCTAGGTTCTTCTTGAAACGCAATGCTTGTATGTCCTGAGTTTCTACTTTGGGAGGTAGAAGTCCATGCAGCCCAAGAATCTGACGTTCTTCCAATGTGAATGCCATGCCCTGGAAGCAACAAACTGTAAATTTCACTTTGTCCAAATAAATGCTCCTTTTGTGCCAATAACTTCAAAAGATTTCAAAATATGACTTCACAGTAATTCGGTGATTTGTAGTAATGCAAATAGCCAATAGGGTAATGTATTGAAAGGCTCCTCTTTGAAGAATACAGCAGCAACAAATTACATTCGTATAGCGCCTTTCATGTCGGGAGGACATCCCAAGGTGCTGGACAGTCAAAGATTGGACCCAAGCTGAAGGTTGGGATCGGGATTGGTGGATGGCCGGAAGGGTAGGGTAGGAAGGTCGATGAGGAGGGTCTTGAAATGGGCCTTGAAGGGGGCAAGGAAGGAGGTGAGGCAAAGGGACTGAGGGATGAAGTTCCAACGGGTGGGGACAGAGAGGAAGGCTGAAGGCCCGACCGGTGGACAGGATACGAACAAGTTAAAATATACAGCGCACAAAGCCTTGGAATGGAAAGGTAAAAAAAAATCCAGTTTCAGACACTTTCAACACTATTACCCCTTTCCTCATGGCTAGATATTATAGCTTCCTTTGAGCAGGTTTTATTTTTCCTCAGTTACCTTGTTTGTTCGGGGACTCAGCATCAATGGTTTGCCCATCTCCTTTAGGTGGATGTATCTGCACGTGGATGCACATGATTTCACAGCCAATTTTAGTTGCGTCAACATGTTTGCGACTAAATCTGTTAATGAAAAATGTAATGTCAGTTAACATCTTCAGATATGCTCAAACATCTACAGGTCTTAACAGACAAATGGTCAAAGCACATTAAACACAAATATTAACAATTTACCATAGTTACTTGCTACAAGAAAGATCTTCAGTTTCCAGGTAGATAGAATGATCACCACATCAAGACGTCAATAGTACTCCACAGGTAATTACTGTCAAATGCAGTGATTGTATCCATATGCAACTACAGCAGACAATTGGGCGAAAAAGACTGGAGAGCTGTTTGCCAGGCAAACTAACCATCTTTTATTAATATTGAAGGCATTTGAGGAATATTTATCATAATAATCCTTACATTTGATAGCGCCTTTCACGTCAGGACAACTCACTGGCTTCCCAGAATATACTGTGAAGTGTTTCTATATTTTGTAAGCGAACACCTACAAAGGTAGAGCTCCTGAGTTAAGCTAACATCATGAACAGTGGCTCATTGTGTAACTGGTGTTTTTATTGCATTTAGGTGTTGTTCTAGAAACTGATGAACTGTACTATTTGCCAGAGATCCCCTGCTCTTTTTGAATAGTGTCATGAGATCTTTGGTATCTACCTGACCAGGCAGACTTTTACTGACTCATCCGACCAGATAACCCAGAGTCCAAGTGCTATTGCCTAAGCCAAAGAGTTCTCTCTGCTGGAGTCCTATGGAAGCATGAAACATATAATATAAAAGAAGCTTTTTAAAATTATACTTTATAATATTATTAAAAATATTATATATTATATTCACAATATAATACAATATAAGCTGTCCGGAGGTAATAATCCCTTCAAAAAAATATAATAACGTGGTCATTCAATCCATGGCTGTTTGGAGATACTGCTGTGTGAATTGCTGCTGCGTTTCCCCCCCAAAAAAATACAATCAATTCACTTTACAGTATACTCTGTGAAGCGCTTTGAGACACATCAACACCTGACAAGGAGCTATATCAAATGCAAGGATTATTATTATTAAAATCTGACAGCAGCTTCTGGCGGATTAGAGAGGGAGAGGGAGGGAGGGAGAGAGGGAGGGAAAGGGCTTCACTTTCTTTATCCTCCCGGGTATCACATCACACACGAACACCAGCCGCTGTTACCTGGCCTGACTGACTGTGAGGGAACGCTTGCTCTGCCCGAGGGAAAGCAATCCCCCCCCTTCTCTCTCGTCGCCGCCCTCAGGTACTTCCTCGCGCCATCGGACCTGATCGACGCCGCTCTGACTACTCCTCGCGTGCCGGCGCCCACCAACTGTCACATTCTCCCCGCCCCCCCACCTGACCGCTACGCGCCACCCTATTGGCGCACAGGCCATGATTGACTACTGGAATGACCAATCGGAAAACGAACCGGGGTTGGAGGGAGGGGTGGGGTGGGCTGTGATTGAGGGGTGACGCTGATTGACGGCTGCATTGGCCAATCCATCGCCGCCTCTCGTTGGGACTAGAAACCAACCAATGAAGTAGATGCAACACGTACGAGGGCGCGTTGACGGACGCACACGTGACCCGCCCCTCCAGACGAGAACCAATAGTCGAATGAAAGAGCGAGCAAGAGGGCGGGGCAGACAGTGATTGACGTAGCAATTGGCCAATCGTTTACGGATGCCTCTCTGGGCTGAGCCAATGGAGCGAGAGGAAAGGCGCGGTGGAGGCGGGGGAAGCGGCGCTGATTGACAGAGACTGGACTGGCCCGGTTGCTATGGCCAAATTCTGGTTGCTATGGACATGTTGGCAGGAAGGAGAACAACAACAACAACAACAGCAGCAGCAAAATTATTCGTGTAAAGCGCCTTTCAGGTCCGGAGGGAGTCCGGAGGCGCTGGACAGACAGCGTTACGGACCCGAGCCGGGGGTGGGGGGGGAGGGGGGGAGGGGGGAAGCGGGGAGATCGCAAGAGGGGTCGAAGAGGAGGGTCTTGAGATGGGTCTTGAAGGTGGTGAGGGAGGGGGCGAGGCGGAGGGACTGCGGGATGCAGTTCCAGAGGGTGGGGGCGGAGTGGCGGAAGGCCCGCCCGCCATTGGTGGGGCGAGCGAAGCGGGGGGACGTGAAGCAGAGCGGAGGGAGCGAGCAGGATGGTAGGGGGTTAGGAGTCCGAGAGGTAGGGGGGAGCAAGACCATGGAGGGCTGAAGGTGAGGACCAGGATCTTGAATTCTGTCAGCACAGCAGTGGTCCTGGAGTCAAGGGTTGTAGACAGAAAGGTACAGTTGGGTGTCATCGCATACATGTGGAAGTTGACCCCATGTCTGCGGATGATGTCACAAGAGGGAGCATATAGATGTCCCCCAAATCCTCCGCTCCACCATCGCCGTGCCTTCAGCCACCTGAAGTGATCCAGGTTTGGTTAGAGCACTCTCGAGACCTGGGTTCAATTCCTGGCAGGATGGAACTTTCCTTGCTCCACACGCCTGATAATAATTCCACCTGGCAATCTTCCAAGTAACAGACATCTGACATTTAACGTAGAATAATGATTCACTTTAACAAAGTGCTTAGTATCTTGGTGACTCATTCAGTCAGCCTATTCCTGAAAAACATCTCAACTTTAACCACAATACTCACGAGTCTATATAACGGGATTCTCTACGACCTTCTGGCATTATCAGTGAATGTTACACCTGCTTTAAGAAATTTTAATTTAAGGGAAAAGTCATTACATCCATCAAAGCTGCTCCTCCCACATAGAATAAGGTGACACAACACCTATTAAATGCCTCTGTCGCTCTTTCCCTTGAGAAAAATCTCTGAATAGATCCTGTACTTCCTAATACCCCAAAAGCAATCAAGCAAACCTTCAGAATCTCCATTATCCCGCTTTTAAAGGATGACCTCAGCCTGGGGTGATTTGCTAGCAGAAAATAGACCAAGGTTCATCAAGTTCACCTTCTACCATCCAGGCAGGCACATGCTACAATAATGGAGATGTTGATAGCAATTAATTCTGTACGGATTACTCTACAACAGAGTGGAAAGCTTTTGGAACCGTAGATCCAAAGTTGCCTGGTTTCTTCCAAGCATACTAGGAACATAGGAACATAGGCCATTGAGCCCCTCGAGCCTGTTCTTCCATTCTATAAGATCATGGCTGATCTGTACCTCTCAACCCGCCCTTGCACCATATCCCTTGATATCCTTACCTAAGAAACAAATCTACTGCACTTACGATATGTCATGTCTCAAATTACTCAGATACTATTTTCTAAATCTGTAATTTTTTTACAGATGTTTGTTACACATCACTGGGCATAAATTGGATTCCGTGTTTACCCACAAATACACAGTCACAACACTTTATTTTAAAAATCCTGTCACACGCTCTGATCACACGTCCCATCATGTGTGACTGGTGCTATACAAATACTAGTTGTTGTTGATCAAAAGCACATTGTCAATTTCAAGGATTAATTTGTCTACACTCACTACACTTGGCAACGATTCCTGATGAAGCACTTTGGGATGCTTCAAATGCAGGACGCTTCAAATGCAAATGCAAGGTAATAGTAAATATCATAATAATCCTTGCATTATGATAAGATATAACATCCTATCATGTCTTCGAGACGTCTCAAAGCGCTTCACAGGATATACTGTAAACTGAATTGACTGTTTCCCCTGGTTGGATAAACTAAAACCAGGGGTGACAACCTTAAAATCAGAGGCCAGCCCTTTCACATTGCATTGAGGAAGAACTTCTTCACTCAAAGGATGGTGAATGTATGGAACTCGCTACCCCAAAGGGCTGTTGACGCTCAGTGCTTGAACATATTCAAGACTGAGATAGATAGATTTCTTATTGCAAAAGGGATTAAGGGATATGGGGATAAATCAGGGTCAGGTTATTAGCTGGAGTTAGATTAGAAGATCAGCCACGATTGAATGGCGGGGCAGGCTCGAAGGGCCGAATGGCCTACTCCTGCTCCTACATGTTATGTTATGTACATGTTATGTAGCTCAGTGGTTAGAGCACTCGCTTTGCAAGTGAGAGACCTGAGTTCAATTCCAGGCAGAGGGCGAAACCTTGGGCAAGTTTCCTTACTCACACAGAGCCTAACTCTTTTTGAAAAGTTCCACGGCATCTTTAACATCCACTGAACAGGCAGTCAGGACCTCGCAGGACCACACCTCCGACAATGCAGCATACTAACAAAATTGGAGTGTGATCTTAACAAAATACATTTCAAGTCCCAAAGTGGAGCTTGAACCCACAATTTTACAACCCAAAGGCTAGAGTGCTACCAACTGAGCCACTAAGTATTCCAACAAAATATAATACCAGCAATTCCATGAACTGCAAAAAAGAATATTTTCTCTGAAATTAAAATGTGCATGACATACCAAAACTGCACAGTTTACCCAGTTTTCCTTCAGAGAATGTGGGTTCCCCTCCCTCTTTAAGTGGTTACTTCCATCAGCGTAATGCTGGTTAGTTTACGTGCACAAAGGCTCCTTTTAGCCAATGCTACTTGTGACTATGGTTCTATCAAAGAAAACCACAAACAGAATGCAGAACAGAATCTCTAACAGACAGCACAATCATTGAATTTGTCATCGAACTTCCCTTTTTTGAATAACAGATGGGAGATAAAATATCAGTTGGATTTCAAAACAGCAATGAAATAAAATCACTGCGATTAAATAATTTGCAATAAAAACAGTTTAGGTATACCCATCCTTATATTTAGAATATATTTCTGACTTGTATTACGCTAGTAACAGCTCCGGGGCACTACCCCGCATGAAGGGCGCTACATAAATACAAGTTGTTTTAGTACAGCTAAAGAAAACTAATCCAACACTGCAATTAAAAGCTCCAAATCCATTCCTCATGGTGACCACGAGTACAGTCAAAGAGGAAACTCTTCAGTCATGATACAAAGGAGAAGGCGTAGGCAAGACAGAAGGATTGAGAGAGAGAGAGAGTGCATTTGACAGGGAGCACGTGTGCCCATATTAGAGAGACGATTTTCTTTTGATAGGCTATTGGGATAGTTGAAAGTCATGGTTCTTTAAGTATTGTAATGAAAACGTCCTGCATTTGGCAAAGCGCCTTTCACTTCAGAAGGACGTCCCAAAATGCATCACAGGATATAATGACTGGGTGTTTTGTGATCGAGCGAAGCAGCAATAGGAAGCGTGTCTGCACTCACTGATTTTTCCGGCTGCATCAGTCAATTGCAGATTTATTTAAGAACAGACACAGATGACACCGAGGGATCTGAAAACTAAAGACCAACCGAGGGCATCAATCAACAAGGAAAATGCATTGATTAGCAACTTGCAATAACACCTCATTTACACAGCTGGTTATGAAAGAATACAGGGCAGGACAGTTCGGCAACTTTTCAAAATGAAAGCATATATTGCGGTTTGGAATTATAGTAAACATTTAACCAAACGGATTAACAAATCCTATTTATTTTTTTAAAAAATGTATTACAGTAACTTGTGAATAATGTTTGAATTTTTTGATACTCAGCAAATGATACAGAGCCTTACCATGACGCTGAGATGTCTCGTAGCCCTTCATGGAATATACCACAAAGTGAAATGACTGTATTTGTTGGCAAAACGCCAACGTTTCAGAGGGAGTCAGTGCAGTCTGGAGAGGATTGGAGTAATGGGCGTGCGGGGTTTAGAGTGAGTAAATGGGGAGTAAAGTTTCGAATTTGTTTTTTTTAAGCGCAGTGGAGTCAGGGAGACCTGCAGGAGTGCATTGGAATAATCGAGGCGTGAGGGGACCAAAGCCTGGTGGAGGGTTTCAGACGGGGTTGGGTTAAGGGCCAGGATAACACTTGCAGATGCCACTGAGCATCCCAAAGGTTGCTACGGAAGCGGTGGCAGGAGTTAAGTTAAATTGAATTCCATCCCGCTACCTTCATCCGCGTCTCTATCATCGTACTCGTCTCTATGAGCGTATTAGTCGGAGCGCTCGCTGAAACGCCGGGCAAGTTTTCCTCACTCTACGCGCCTGTGTTTGCCTCGCAAGAAATAAGAACCCGGCAGTTAGCCGACCGGCGGGTTGCTTTACCGGGGTGGGTGGTAAAAGTCCGTGACTATTTGCGGGACGCCCGCTGCGTTTCGCCCGCGAACCGCACAGCCGTTCCGCTTTCCGTGGCATCCGGCGACGCGCTTTCGGGGCGCCGCCGCAGGGCAAACGCAAGGGCGGGGGGGGGAGGAGGGGGGGGGGGGTTTGGTTCTCGCCTCAATTTTAATCGCCTCAAATGATTTCCGACCGCCGCCGGTGCGATTCAAGGAGAGAAAAGGA